TAAACACTTGCATGTGGGCACCCCCTCTTCCACATATTAATTTCTGTAGTACATCCAAGTTTTCAAAACAAAATTGTGTCCAATGCCCAGGTGTGGCTGGGCACCCCCAGCTTGTTGCCAAGATAAAGTAAATTGATCTTCAATTTTTGAAGCGACGTATTTATCGTTTTTAAGTTTTTTTTATTTTTTAACGTCTCCCCGACAGATCAGTTTTATTGACTTTGAGAACAGTGTTAACGTAACAGAAATTTGCGGAGAGTCCAATTTTTTTTATGGAGAGCTCCTTTTTTTTTCTACGATGAGAAATGGACTGAAAGAGCGGTGTTGTGATTGATTACTGTTCGGTCGATTTATTCGAAGAGGTGAAAAGAAGGCAAAAATTTGCAGTAGAAGACTGCAGGGAATTGAAAAATTGAAAAATGTGGTTCCACCAACCAAACTGAGCTCGTTCACATTTCAGAACATTATATATCGCAATTTTAGATTTTTCACGTTTCCGCTGGCTGGTTGTGTATTGAAGAAATCCATTTTTAACCCAGTATAACTGTGTTGGAATCGATTCTGAATCTTTCTCAGAGCACTAAGAAGCAGTCAAGAAAAGAGCTTGGTGATGTGGAGTTCAAGTTGGAGCAAGTGATGAAGGAGAAGCAGGGGATGGCTGAAGAGATTCGGCTCTTACACGAGAGGCTAACTGAGGCTGAGCAGACTGCTCAACGTCACCTGGAAGACAAACGGGACCTGAAGGCATCCCTGAGTGATGCTCAAAGGCGGCTGCAGGAAGCTGCACAAGAGCTTTCTGAAAGTCAACGCAGACTTCAACGGGTCGACGAACGGCATCGTGTTGAAGTGAGTTGAATCTTTTGTTTCCTCGTGTGTTGCGTAAGCTAAATGCATTCTCTTTTTTTTCTTCAGACTCAAGAATGGGAGCAGTTTCAGCAGGATTTGCTGATGACGGTGAGAGTCGCCAATGACTTCAAGGCGGAGGCTCAATCAAACTTGGAAAAGTTGCTTCAGGAGAATCGTTCGCTGAGGGATAAGATCCGCAGTATGGAACTGGAGATCGACAGAATCAGATGTGAGAACGTCGTTCATGATCAATTCTGAATCTTCCTGCCCTTAATTTCGAAAAATGTTTAGGAGTAGATGAAAACTGGTTCATTTAAAAAATCAAACCTTCGCATTGTTAGCTACACCTTATGAAATGCTGATATTTTTCTGCTGAAGAAAAGACCTGACGTATGTAAAAATATTTTCGTACTGTGTCTCCCCATTTGCCCGACATTTCGAGGACACGTTCTGTCAAATTATTTTTATGGATTTGTTCATGTTAAGAATTTTTTCGTCGGGAACGCCGGGAATCCGACCCGCTCGAACAAATTGAAAATAGGTTTTTGGCAAGCTGAACTTGGACGCGTGTCAACGCGAAACTTGTCCAAAACTGTTATCATTTACGATGTTTGTCCCACTTGGGCGCGACCTCAAGTATTCATAGAGTGGGCATGACCAAATAACAATTATAATGTAACCCATAAAGTTTCAAGGTTCTGGAATTTTTCCGGATTTTCAACAACATTTGTACATTTACTGCATGATGATAAGAGAAAACTTTCCGGTTACGGCCTGAGTTCCCCATCCATGTCACAAGATGCAAAAAAAAATTTCAGGCCTGTTGAAATATTGAATTTTTCAACCATTATATTTTCTACATTTTAGATAACACTTTGAACAAGAAATTAAAAATTTCAGCTGGCCTGACAATTTCTTAGCACCCTCTGAGATGGGTGAGGAACTTTGGTCGCAACCGAAAAGTTTTAAATTATCATCATGCGGTAAATTTAAAGATCCGAAAAAATCCCATAACCTTGAAAAATCATTTGCTACATCATAAATATTTTTACATATCATACCTACTTTATGAATAACCAAAATATAAAGAAATGAAATTATTGGAAGATCCGGAAATGATCCCTTAACCTTGAAAAATCATTCACCACATAAATTTCTTTCACAGTCATACGTACTTTATAAATAACCAAGGTCGCGCCCAAGTGGCACAACCCTCGCATGTCATAAAAAGGCGAATGTTTTCTCTCGTGTACTCGGAAATGTTTGTTTTTTTTAAAATCATTTTACTGTACCAATGTGTGATGCTTAACCGGATCCAAAATTTCTACGGCTTTTATCTGAGTCCTTCAATGTAATACGAGGGAGAAACGTTTGACTGATTCCTGCGGAGCACCTTTTCGTATATTGAGTTGAAACGATTCGATGATGAATTGGAGTTGATGTATTTTGGCCCGTTTCTTACAGCGGACAAGTCCCTGGGAGCGACAGTGAGTCCCCTGCAAACTTTGCGTCCTGTTGGATCTCCGTTCGGTGACCTGCACCTGGGTCTGGACGTGAGGAGAAGTGGAGCCACTGCCAATAGCCGAACGTTTGGACGGAGTTCCGGTGAGCACCGGTTGTCCGTCCGAAGTCTTATAACTAGTATCGAAAGTGCTACGAAACATGCCAAAGGTGAGCCGATGTCCTGAGTTTCTGGTGGCCGGTGGTGCATGCTTCTCGTACGGTATGGGTGTTGGACATTCTTGCGTCATTTTGCAATTTTCCTCGTATAGATGAACTTGTGCCGTGCTTCTATCAGTGTCTACTTGTTTTTCCCGGAAAACGTGATCGACTCCCGCAATTATTCCCAGCACGCAAATAATTTGAAATACGCTGAAACCTCTTCAAGACGAAGTTCAAGGGACCAGGAAAAAATTCGAGTTGGGGAAAGAAGCAGTTATGTTTGGGGAGAGGGGGGGGGGGAGAAGAAGAATTGCAGGAAATTGTAATAGGTGACATTCTGGGCCTTGAGAAGATTCTTAAAAGAGTTGACAGGATGCTGAACTTGGAGGCAAGGGTTCATTTACCCAATTAATCATTCACTTCCTTTCAAAACCCATGGAAAATTCTATCTATTTTCTCATCTATATATTTTCTTCATTCTATTTTCTCTTTCCTGTGTCAATAAAACTAGAGCCAAAAGGCCTCCAGAAAATTTGAGTTACGAATGTTTGAGAGGGAAAGCTTTTGAGTTGGAGAGATTTTTAATGCATTATTTCTGAGAGGATTTGACTTATTGAGGTATTCGACTTGGTAGGTTTGAGTTATTGAGGCTTGAATGTACTGTACATTTAATCTATTCTGAATCAGAGAAGTTCCATTTTATACAGTACCCGTAATTACGTTACGTGCTCAATCTGAAATTCTGCGTCACGAAACCGAAAAGGGTTATTTGTTTTGAACATCGGATGCAAAAGAAACGGATCATGCGTTTTACCTGCTAATCAAAAATTATTTTTAAAGCCAATTTTCGCGAGAAGAAATGTGCTTCATATTTGAGTGAATATGGTACGCCAGTTATAATTGTTGTCACAGCACGGAACTATGTTATGGTTGTACTGTAGTTGTTGATGTACTGTACGTTATCACGATCGAGATTCGTCATGCTTCAACGCAACACGCCTTGCCGTACAGTATTCAACCATCACGTAAGAATCAAACAAACGAGCTGCGGTTCATGCGATTCACTGTCCAGAATTTTCTTAGGTTCTTTTCATTTGAAGCCCAAATTATTTTTCTGGAGTTTGAAGCAGGCGTACCTCAAATCTGTCCATGAATTTCCTCAACTAACCCAATCTGACGTGATGCAACATCGTCGAATCTGTACAAGCTAATTTATCCAAACCGATTGCAAGCAGTACTAACTCGGGTCTAACAAACCTTTGAAAAACTTTCGGCGATACCGTGCAACAGTGAAATAATGATCATCTTATTTACCCGAGTATCACGCGCACTTTTTTTTAAGTTGAGAGGGAAAAAAGGGGTGCGCGTCAAATGTGCTTCTTGAAAAATGTGCATGCATTTTTCAAAAAGTTTTAATAATTTAGGTCTGCATTATACTGTACTGTATAATGGAAAATTTTGGTCCAAGTTTAACTGAAAAACTTTTGGTACTGGAAACGATTGAAAATTGGTGGAATTCATGTTCAACTCATGTCCAAAATTAAAACTTGCAGTGTTATTATTATCTTAAATACTGTATTGTATTGTGGCTTTAGAGTCACTGAAAATTGGGTTCGCATTTTTCGTGGGGATAGGATTTTATTGAAATTTTCAAATGAAAAACCCAGGTGCGCGTCTGACTCGAGTGCGCGTGAAACTCGACTAAATATGGTCAGTTGAAAACTTCGGTGTTGAAAATTTGAAATGAAAAAATAAAGCGTCCAATTTTCCGCATATTGAAGGATTGCGTTTCAAAAGACGAAAAATCCAGAAATTCATTTTATCTGGGCTTGCATTTTAGTTTTGATTAAATTCGGGTCGCATTAACTGTGTGTGTATTGGTGTCGGGTTAACCATGAATTGAACTCATAATTCTCGTATTTTTTCTTCTGTTGGTGCATGTGGTTCGCGTGAGAGGGATTGCTTCGTGTTTTTTTTCTTCTTCACATTCAATGGTTTGTGTTGGTCTGTATCTTCCAGCGAATGTCTTGGAGGAGAAGCCGGTGGCGACGTCCCCAGCCGTCACGTCCAGCGTGGAGACGGACGCGGCGTTGCCTCTGCCGCCAGTAACGCCGCCGCCGGCGGAGTTGCAGCTTCCTTCATTCCGACCCGTCCTGTCCCCCGCGAGGAAAGTGAGCTTCTCCAGCGATACCCCGACGTCTCCGAACCCGAAACCCGGGATCCTGACAAAGAGCAAAATGGAGACTGAGCCGCTCAAGCACCGTCCTTTGCTTCACGACGTTCCTGGATCCGCGCTGATTCAGTCTGGGGACCCGTTGGCCAACCTGGCCCGGAATGGGGGATCCAAACGTAACGCTTTGTTGAAGTGGTGTCAGCAGAAGACCATGGGATACTCGGGGATCGACCTGACGAACTTCAGTTCTAGTTGGAATGACGGCCTGGCGTTTTGCGCCTTGCTGCACAGCTACATGCCCGAGAGGATCGGGGATTACGACGCCCTGCTGAAAGGTGGCAACAAGAAAACCAACTTTGCCACTGCTTTCAAGGCTGCTGAGTCGGTTGGCATAGAGACAACCCTGGTGAGACTTCTACTGCTCATGTGTTGGATTTCTTTCGTAACTTATGAAACAAAGTTCTTGAGAAACATTAGAGAGGATAGAAGCCATCTCCAATTTTCCAAGTGTTCCTATTACGTGTTATAATTCAAGTAGGAGAACAATCGAGTCAACATTTCAAGGATAGGGTTGAGGATGAATGTCCTGGAAAGGGGTTAAACCGCCTTCTTCCAAAGACCGTCATCCTTTGCTAGTCCAACAAATCTCACGATGTTCTGGTACAAAAAATTTGAGTCTTGAAAAATGTTTAAATTACGAGGCACTGTAGAATAATTCCCCAGGAAATCGAGGGTTCGAAAGTTTGACTTGTAAATACAGTCTACTAAATCGCGAGCTCTTTTCGGCTGCTACGCAACGTTGAAGGCTTTTGAAACAACCTTGGAAGAGGATGATTTTTCCCTTTCCGTGCATTCCTTGTAAAAACTTGTGTTTTTGAATATTTGAATTTAGAGCTGAAAGTACGACCTGGAATTTAATTTTTGATTATTGGTAACACTGTTGGAATCTCTGAAAAACTTGCCACAGGTGGACTCCACGAATAAATCCAAGGGGCCAGAAAAATTCTTTGTAGAGAGAAGATCGTTGTAGAGACGCCATCTGTGTAATCATCGATTGGAGAAAAATTAGGAGAAGCCTGGTTCCTTTTGCTTGGATAACCGACGTCAAAAAGGTTTTCCGGTGTGGGCTGACAAATGTAAAAATTTGTGTCAGGAAAGGCTGGTTCCGCATTGGACGAGCTTTGTTACTGTATGTCATGTTAGATCGAGCTTCATAATAATGTACACTGCACAGTATTGTGCAGTACAGTATGTTTCTTGCAACATCTGCGTGACATTTGAGGAAGCTCCGTCCGGCTTCGAAGTGGTTGGAACCGAAATGTTGGCATTCTAGTCTCCGAAGTTTTTAACAAAATCAGCTTTCTTCCAAACCTGTTATTATGAAATTGTGTTCACGAAGAGAATTCGCACGATAAATGAGGGATCTTAATTGAGAATGCTGTATTTTTTTAATTTTTCTAGGATCTGAACGAGATGGTGAGCTTCGAACGCCCGGATTGGCACGCAGTCATGTCCTACGTAACCGCAATCTACAAGCATTTCGAAACTTGAGAATCCGGAAGGCAGCACAGCGTACCGGAAGCTTTAAAACGACTCATTCGAAAAGTATCTAATTTATTCGGGAAAAGAGTGAAAATCGTAACGTTTGCCGTGCGCTTTATTTTTTCGTACGCGAGAAGAAAATTTACAATATTTTATTCTTTTTTCGTATGAAACCGAGATCCAGGAACTCACGAGTGTTCAGTGTTCTACGGGCACGAGCTTGTTGATTAATCTTTTTTTGGGAAACGTGGATCTGAGATTTTAGAAATTGGGGAAACTGACTTGAGTGCATTTTGGGAGGGAAGAGGGGGGGGGGAGTTCAACAGGACTTCGAAGGCTTGATTTCATGGCCGAGTACATGATGTGATTAAAAATTTACTTGAACCTATTCTTGGCTAATTTTATTCTCCCCTTCGTCAGTTTCGAGGCGAAATCCATGGGTTCCAGGATATTGGACCTTAGCAGAGTACCACACCTCTGAGGCAATCGTGCCAATATAGGAATTTATAATTTGTTTTTCTAATTACGGCCGCAACGCGCTTGAAGTAAAAGAAGCGATGAACCGAATCTGTTCTCAGTGTGGCGAATCAATCTTCACACGAAGTAACTTGACCTCATATAACACATCGTAATACAGTATAATCTCGTTATAACGAATATTCGATCAATAAGAAGCTTGTTTCTTTGGTCCCTGCTAAATAGCCCTAATGTTAAATGAGTTGCTTTGTAACGAATTTCCTTCACAATGAAGCTATTTCACTGGTCCCAATATGGCTTCGTTGTATTGAGATCAGTACAGGATTGACATTCAGGTTATGTATGTACCGCTCTTGAAGCTATGCTGTAGTTCAATAATCATAAATTAAATTGTCCATTTTTATGAGATGAAAAATTTTCTCTCCCAAGAGCCAGCTTCGTATACCCCTACAGTACATACACACAGTATAGGATTTCCATGTGCTGCAAAATCTTCCTACAACAAAGCCATTAGTGTTGATAAAAGATATTCATCGTATTATTGTTATGAACACATTAAAATGACATGGGAGTTATGGGACTCGAAAATGAATTCATTGTAACAAGATTTTACATGCTTTCACTATACTGTACTTGTAACCAATTTAGGAAAACTTGTTGCAAGTCTTCATTCACTCACTTAGCATGCCAAAATTAAAATTTGAATTCCACTTCAGGAAATTGATGAGATGTACTGTGCATCCTTTTTCTCCACGAAGACACATTGAAACACAGCAAGTCGTATGATTTTCATTTTTTGAAGTTCTTATAAATGCACTGATTGAGGGGGACGAATGTCGCGAAGCCAGAAAACCAAAAAATCAGAATAGAACTATACTGTACTACAGAATATATACAGTATTTTATTATTTTTAAAGGGGAATTGCTCATCCAGTTGTCAAAAAGTATTAAATGCGAAGTCAGTGTGAAATGAAAAATGATGAGAGGAGGAGGTGTTACTACAAAACTGAAGAATGTGGAAAGGAATGCAGTACACACAGGGAGAGCTGACAAACAGTTCAATTTTTACTTTTTTCTGCTCAACCATGGGTTGGGTTTTCTAATTTTGCGGATGGAGGCATTTTTTCCCATGTTGGTCGTAACGCTGCAATTAATAACAATTAGGAGCCGTATTTGCAACATCGTGCGGACTACAATTCGGACTTCTTGGAAGGTGTTATCATCAAACGTCAGGAAAGTATTGCTGTTATACACGAACACTTCCTGTATTGAAGCATGACAGAAAAAAATTGGACACTTGGGCGTTCACACTTCTCAGCATTTTTTTTTTTTTTTTTTAGATATTGATGCCATGTCAGCATGCAGGGCTAAGTTCTCTAAAACCCTAATGTACAATGTCATTTAAGCATTGAGAAATAATTACTACAGTATTTTGTCAGAAGTAATTAAGCTGCTGGCTACTGATGAGAGTGGTTGGCAGGCATTTTTCAAGATCACAGCATAGTTATAAAAGATTATGTCTTTCAAATCTCAGCTAGAAAACAGTTCAAGATAATAATTATATTCATGTGTAACATAAAAATCACATGATCAATTTGATAACTAGAAAAATTTCTCAAAGCTGCACCGAAATTGTTTCGAATGGTTTGAGTTTAAAATTTATTAAGTTATGAACTGCTGAAATTCTAGCAATACGTCGTCGCTTAAAAAATTCCGGAAAAGCTATTTTCATGAGCCAATTTTTTTTTTTTCGTGAAAACAGTTAATGATACAGATTTTTCGTTATCCGAGGCATTCGTTATTTATACTGAACCCACTGTAATGTGAGCATTTCCCGGGCCCTTCAACCGCCTGAGGTGGAGTCACTCAACCAAGGTATAGCCTATGGTGCCCTGCAACCTGTTGCCGAGGGTTTCAGTCGAGCGTCAGTCTCTGTCCAGAAAACAGCTCTGCTTTCTTTAGTCCCTGGAAATCTTGGGTACATTGATCAGTTTCTTCAAGAATCTTTTCGAAAATTGACGCGAAAAACACAATCGCACTAGCGTCATGCATTTGTGAACGAGTATAGTTGAAAGAGTTGCGGATATTTACATTTGATGGAAAAAAGTCAAGACAGAGTTAGGAGCCTCATCTTTGCGGATTCCTGAGGAAAGAAAGAAAAGTTGTTGGTCTGTGCTAAAAAAAATTAAACATATTCTTACTCTTACAATATTGTGCTTTTGTTAGTAGCAATCTTGCAAACCATGGAGAGCGACGGGGACGGAGAAGTTGACGATGGTGTAGAAAGAGACACGGTTGTCAAAATGGTGGCTAGTGGGGGTCGGACTGTCATGACAGCTCCAGTACAACAACCCCAAAGGGAAACTTGGGGGAAGAAGGTGGAATTCCTGCTGGCTGTCATAGGGTTTGCAGTGGACTTGGGCAATGTTTGGAGGTTTCCTTATATCTGCTACCAAAACGGCGGCGGTGTGTACATTTGCTGCACGGTTTGAAAAAAAAACTATAAATTCAGTAAAATTCGTTATATGCAAGTAGACTCTCTTCCTATACAACGAAATTCAGGGGACCAGGAAGAAATTCTTTTGAGAGAACCTCCCTATATATGCGATATGGTTGAGAACCCCCTTGGAATCAAAATAAAATTCATTAAAAACAAAATTCAAGAAACCTGAAAAAATTCGTTGTAGAGAGAATTTTGTTGTCTAGAGAACCTCTATAATGCTGGGAGAGAACCCTACGCTGGAACCGTAAAATTCGTTGCAGTGTACCGATAATTGTTGTAGACAAAAATTGTTGTTGAGGGAGACCACCTGCTGTGCAAGTGAAAAAATATTTTTAGACAATTTTGTTGTCAGAGAAGCTTCCTATAGCTGTAGCTTTATAATTTATAAAAGAAGGTGCAGTATAGCTATCAAATTCTATTTCAACAAATACTGTACCTTTGTAACACATTTTTTTTATTAAAACTAAAATTATGCATGAGTACCAAGCAGTATTGAGGAAAGCAAATCAGTTTTTCAATCTATTTTCTGTGGTTTTATTTTTGTTGTTGGATCTAGCTAACTTGAAGCTCTCTGTGCCAAATTTGTGTCCTGAATTCCCTTAGGGACAATTTAATATATTGGTGGAGGGGGAGGGGTCTGAATGATTTCCCCTTCCCCCAAACCTCTATCACTAAAATTTATAGTGTGAACTTTTTGCTATCATCCTGGGGACCAAAGAACGATATAAGAACAATGGAAATGTAACTTGGCACTTCCATTAGAAAATGAAGTAATAATTAGGAGAATGTGTCCTGGCTTTCAAGTTCATCATATTTATTTATTAGATTTATTTACCCAGCAGTTCAAGGTCCAAAAGATCCCTGATAATACATCCCTATAGTATAGAGCTTACACAATTTTTTCCTGCAAAAATGCCACTCAAAAACTATTCAATGAGCCAATTTTTCAGCCCCTCCTAAAGGCTAAACTCAAGGAGCTCATAGAATTGCATGAGGTTCTATTCAAACCTGTGCTCATAGAAATAAGCAGGATTCTTTTCAATTGAAAAACTTTGTATGCTAGTATTCTTCTGCTGCGATGTACAGTATGTGGTATTGTGCTGGAAAACTTTGTGATTTTCTTCAAACAGGGTCAATTGATTGGATTTCAGAAAAAATCATAGGAATCTCAAATAAAAAACCTGATGACGCAATTTTTTTGGTTTCTAAAAAGTTTTTCATCACAAGATTTCCCTTACATAGATTTGAATTACATTATTTTCTGAATAAAAGCGACAATTTAAATATCAGAGCAAAGGTTCCCAAAGGAGCAGCAATATGTTCTTCAGAGAAATTATGGTCGCATATATATGATGCGTCAATGGATATTCATAACATATCCCATGTTTTGCTGTTGTTGACTATTTGGAATACAGGAGCATTTCTGATTCCATACGTTATCATGCTGATATTCGGAGGACTACCCCTGTTTTACATGGAGCTTGCTTTGGGACAATATCATAGAAGTGGCTGCTTGACCTTGTGGAAAAGGATTTGTCCGATTCTGAAAGGTTTGGGGGTTGTGTCTGGCGAGGGATGCGCGCAGGTTTCTTTTGATGACATGGTTGCCCCCAGGAGTCGGATACGCGATTTGCGTCATAGACCTTTACATGGCCATGTACTACAACACGATCATCGCCTGGGCTTTGTACTACCTGTTCAGCTCGTTCACCGACGAGCTGCCCTGGACTTCTTGTTACAACGAGTGGAACACTGTCAACTGTTCGTCCCTCACGAATTTCACTGGGAACGGGTCCGTGTCGAACCTGACTGCCAGTCCTGCTCAGGAGTACTTTGAGTGAGTGCCATGGATTGGTGAATGAAAGAGGTTGTTGTTGGGGAACCACACGTACGCGCCGAATAATGTTAAAATTAAATTATGAAAAAACTACGAAAACCTATAGCATCAGATAAGAGAACCAGCCCTGAAAGGGAATAAGGAACTCCTCAAGGCAAACTACACCACTCCAAAACACAATGAAAACCAGATTCGATTTCTGTTTTCCTCTCTTGTCCACCAAAGAACAAAATTCAAGCCACATTTGCAATCACAATTTTGCTGTGTGCAGTGTGCAAAATTCTGAATTGAGGAGTTCTGCTGAGTTAAAAAAAAGTTGTTTAATCTTTTGTTCAAACTTATATTTTTTGGGACAAAATCGAAATACATTTCAAACAGTTTCTAATCAGGAAATCCTAAAGGGATTCCTGGCCTAGTCCCAGCCAGGCTGATTCTGTTTTTCATTTCCAATTTTTGAACTTTACTTTATCCTACATTTTGATCCACTAGCTGACTAGCAATTTCTGGTACTTTCCTGTTATCTCAGTACCTCATTCCTAGACCGCTCTACCATCCAGACAAATCTTTAGGATGCATTCATAATCAAAAAGACCTACCAGAAACTGTGAATTTTATTTTTCTGCATTCTGCTGAAACTGATTTTGGGAGGCGGTTAGGTGAAGTTAGGTTAAATTGGTCAGAGGGAAGGTACAGGGATAACAGGAAGTAGGTACTGAAATAACAGGAAAGTACCCAATTTCCTTCATATTTGTGTTGAGGTAAGTTACTCCTCAACAGTTGCACATGCATAGGAGGGGTCTGTGACAGTGTGTTCCCCAACCTTTTTGGGCCCATGGACAAGCAAATTTCCATTTAAAAAAAAATTCTGGTCTGGCAAATTTCCAAATATTTTCTGCAAACCAGCAACATTTTCATTAAATGTTAGCAGATTTGAAAAAGTTTTGTTTGAAGAACTTTATGGCACATATTTTAGAAGTAAAATATCCGCTTTTTGTTGCAACAATTAAATTGTGAACCAATGAAGTAGCCAATAGTAGAATGTCTTCAAAATATGAGAAAGGGGTGCTTGAAGAAAGGTTTCTCAGAATGAAAAATGAAACTGATTTAATTCAGCTGATGAAAATTTGTCTGAAGCATTATTAGGAGAAAAACCACAATTTTATTTTTCATCAGATAATTTAAACTGCAAAATTACAAAATTCTTACAAAATTCTTTACAAAATTTCAGATCAAGATAACAGACTTCATTGGTGCTTTTGATAAATTTGTTATGCCAAAGAAAATTTCCTTCAAACCAGCAAAGAACTTCTGTGGACTGTTGCCAGTCTAGTGGACCATGAGATGGTGTACACTGGTCCATAACAAATGTTCTCATGATAGAAGTTGGAACAGTATGATGCAATTGAGCTGAAAAGCAAGTACCTTATTGTTTAAAAAAATTTATTTTGTGCTGCAGGGAAAAAATTCAGCCCTCTGTTTGGTATGTTTTTCAGAAAATTTTGCAAAAATCCCCCTGGCAGTTTTCTGCTCTTCACTCAGAAGATGAGGCGCCCATTTTGCAGATTTCTTGTGTGCAAGCCAGCTTTCCCTTCAGAATTCTTGAACTTGACATGGCATGAATTCCTGGAGTTGTTGCCATTGATTAATCAGTAATTCTTCCAATTTCATCAACAGCCACCACTGAGGATGAGAATGTGGCGGATATAAAGGCGGCTATCAACAAACATTTGTTTGATTACCTTGGGAGACATGAAGGCAACCCTTGGAATTAATTCCACATCAATTTCAAGAATTCTGAAGGAAAAGCTGGGTTACACCAAACAATCTGCAATATGGATGCCTAATCATATGAGTGAAGATCAGAAAGCAGCCAGGGCGACTTTAAAAAAAAATTCTCAAAAACATGTCAAACAGGGTTGAATTTTTCTTGCGCCTATAAGTTTTTTTTCTGTGGACAATATTTGTTCTTCAGCTCAATTGTATATGTCATATCACTTTATATCCTGAGAACTTTTGTTTAACCCCTCATATATATTTAGTGGATTGGTGCATTGAAGGCTGTGCTGGTGTTTATCAGTCGACAGGTGCTGAGGATGCAAGAGGCCAATAAAATCGAGAGGATCGGGGGCATCAAGTGGAACCTTGCAGCGTGTCTCTTCGGGGTCTTTGTGTTGGTCTATTTCTCCCTGTGGAAAGGGGTGAGGAGTTCGGGCAAGGTATGTTTCATAAGGGTATTTTCCCCTTTTGGATATTCTGAACGAAACTTCCTTGACGAAAGGTTTGTGTACTTGCAGGCAGTTTGGTTCACTGCCATTGTGCCATATGTGGTCCTGATTATACTCTTCTTCAGAGGTATTACGCTTCCTGGAGCCATGGATGGCATCAGGTTCTATCTCACTCCTAATTGGGAGAAGCTCAAGGACATGAAGGTACATTAAAAAAAAACTGTATATATATACAGTACAGTATATACCATATTTACTTTAGTACCGTACCATGCCCACCTTTTTTCTCAAATTTCAGAAGAAAAAAGGGGTGCGTGTCATAAGTGGGTACAAATTTTTTAATAAGTTTTAGGAAGTTATGTGTGCATTATACTTAATTATAATGGAGAAATTTTGAAGAAATGTAACAAAAAAACTTTTTTGTACTGAAAAATTTGAAAATTGATCCAATTTTTGTTCAATTCATGTCGAAAGTCAAATTTTTTGAATTTATTTTCAAAATTTTGTAGTTTTAGATTTACTAAAATTAGGGTGCATGCCTTACTTGGGTATAAGATTTTAGCCAAATTTCCAACTGAAAAACCCCTGTGCGTGCCTTACTTGAGGGCATGTGGTACTTGAGTAAATATGGTATATGAAGGGACCAGAAAAAAATTCAACTTAAGGAGGTTTTGACTTTGGGGTGAGGTTTTGAGTTAGGAAGGTTTTGAGTTAGGGAAACAAGCATTTTGTTGTGGGAAATGTCAAAGAATTGCAGTAAATTGTGAATGGTGATATTCTGGGCCTTGACTCAAATTTTCTGAGGCTTTGTGGCTATTATTTTCTCAAAATACAAAAGAGCAAAGCAATAAAAAGAATAACATGATGTGTGCAGTTGAAACAAAGTGGAAGACAAAATGGGCAAGTGAACCCATGCCTCCAATGTCAGCATGCTGACTCAATTAAAAAGCAATTTAACCCAAGGAGGTTTTTGAGGAAAAGCCTTTGAGTAAGGCAGATTTTTTTATGCAATTGCTTCTTAGGGAAGTCAGATGGGGACTTGAAAAAATTGTACTTGGGAAGGTTTGAGTTATCTAGGCTCAACTGTATATATATGGTACACACAGAGTTCACCTTTCTCCAGAAAGCTAATGTTTTTAAATCAATTTTCCAAATGGAGTTTTGACAAACAATATCCTCATGTAAGTGTGGCCACGATTCCCCCGCGAGGAATCTGCGATTACTACCTCTGGATCATTTCAGAAGTCGGCAGGCTTATGTATATCTTACTTCGAAATTAATTTTCATTTTGTTAAAATTAGCACGTTCCTCATTGCCCTGTTTCATACGGGCGGCAGTCAATGATTTTGTGAGATACAGTTTTAAGCTTCATCCAAAATAATTTTTCTCCGTGTTCTGTCTTATTAAGACCAATGAATAAATAACTTGAAGGTTTTGGAGGATACTTTCCGTATATGTGTAAATAAGAACAGTTTTAAAATTTGAAACAAAAAATGCATCATATTTGATTATATAGAAAAATTATCTCGTACAACTATTTTCGATATTAAAGGCTTTGCTTGTTTTTCCCAGGTCTGGACAGATGCAGCATCACAGATTTTCTTCTCGCTTGGGCCAGGGTTTGGGACACTGCTGGCCTTGTCCTCGTATAATAAGTTCCACAATAACTGCTACAGGTAAGTCAATGGCAGAATCTTCTCTGAACTGATGATGTGTTCGTCAGAAAATGATTTTCCGAGTGTTTGATAAAAGTTGTCCAAAATAAAATATAATCGTGGATTTAAACTCTTCGAAAATTCAGGATTTGAAGGCTTTTTCTTGTTTCCATCCAGAAAAAATGAATGAATGAATGGGTTACATTTATTTAAAATATGGCTTCAATCTCAAGCCAAATTCTCAAAAAATTATGAACGCAATGATGAACTCACTGGTGATAGTAAAGGAACTTTGGTTCAGTTTATTCAGATTATCTCAATAATGCTGTGAAGTAACGGAAGTTTTAAATTTCACATGAAAAATGTTCAGTACTGTACTAATTTTCATCCCAGCTGATTCCAAACATGTATCTTCAGTCGCAGTTTTAGTGTGATTGTAATGCTTATATTTTTAGTTCATTTACCGTAATGGAATTATTCGAGTTCAATGCGATTTAATCAGGAAGGGTGGTCTGAAATTCCGTTTATGATTTTCTAAACCGCTTCGTCTTTGCAAAGGATTAAATAATTCTGAATGAAGTTTGAAAGAAGTCATTCAGCCATTTTTGCAGGTTCATTAAATAAGCATATACTGACCAGAATTGTATTTTTTCAAATTCTTAATATTTTAGACTGCAAATAAAAATAGGTGGTACCTAGCAATTTTACCTCCACAATTTGACCATCCCACAATTCAATGGTCAAATTTTCAGGGAGGTTGATTTGCAATTCTATCCTTGCCCTGCAATTTTACTTGTTTTGCCTACTTTCTTTTGCGTTTTTTACTTGTATTTTTGAATTTCACAAAGTGTCTTGCAATTTGACAACTTTACAATTTGACCTTATATGGTTTGAAAATGGATTAGGGTTGAATTGCAAGGTACCACCTGTAATAAAAAAACGTCCACTTGATCTTTATGTATTATATACAAATATTTTGCATTTTAAAATGCACATCTCTCAGCTCACAGGAAACTAAACATGTTATCTCTTTATGTTATCAGGGATGCCATCCTGACCAGCAGTATCAATTGCCTCACCAGCTTCTTGGCAGGATTTGTAATCTTCTCTGTCCTTGGTTACATGGCACGTATGCAGAACAAAGAGGTGAAAGATGTTGGGAAAGAAGGTGCGCAATGAAAATCATGTCTTTTCAGCATATTAAGAGGCTATAGCCAGCTTTCTTGAAAATTTTCACAATACCGCAATATCAGCCCTGTAAAAGGGCAAAAACTATCCCACCCACAGAAAGGACACTAATGTGAGACAGTATTTTTAGCATCCCTAATTTCTGACCAGAAACCTATTGCAAAAATTAAGAGAATAGCCCAGTGAACACGGGAAACATATGTGAACATACCAAATTCAATAAAAGATATATTTACAGTCATCAGCAGAAGTTGGAATCAATCTACATGCAGGTCTGAACTCTTGAAAACCCAGGATGAGTTCCTTCATGATTCTGTTGTTTGTCTATTTAGCTTTTTTTATTTAATTCACTGACTAGTATTGGGTAAGTAGCAGTTTGTAAGTTTTTAGCTGGTTAGTTCATGCTCTGCTAAGTTTTTTTAGTGTTTTAAACTTTCTCACTTTTGCATTAGTCCACTTGTCCTCTTTTAAGAAGAAATGAGGCGTTTTTTTTAAATAAACAGTTATTTGAGTCAGGTGATTTCTCCCCTGGTCAGGAATTGGTAAAAATCACAAAATTCTAGAAGTCATAACTTAATCAGCCTTCAAAGAGGCTTGGTGAGCATTTTTAAAGTTGCTCACAGGAAAAAGGAAGTTGCAGCTAAATGCGGAAACTTAGCTACATTTGTTATAGGTAACACTGAGTCAAAGTACAGGGCCCCGAGATGCGGACATGATTGGTTCATGGACCTTGTCCCTATGTTTTCCCATAGACTTAATTGGGAACATATTTAATTAATTCTCCTGTTTTTCAAAAATTTGAAAAAAGTTTCCCAAAAATATAATAAAATTTTGTTTGTAACTACAAGAAAATATAGAAAATTGCAGTGGAGAAGAAAGACACACACAATTTGACCTTTTTGGCATGAAAAGAGTTCTAATGTACAAAACAACAAGCACACATATAAATTCCTGAATTTGCTGTACACAATTTATGAAAAAGAGAAATCACAGAATAAAAATACTGTACAGCACTTTGAATCCGGAATTGAAGTTCATTTATGACAAGATTTATTTTAGATTATGCTCTGTGAAAAGAACTCAAGTTGTTTCAGTCAAAATTTCAAAAATTAAAGTCGATATGGAATAATTGTGAAATGTCCATATCTTGAGACAATGTCCAGATGTCGGGGCAAAGTTATGGGTTCTGAAGTGTCCGCAAGTCAAATCGTCCGAATGTCGGGGCTCCACGGTATAACATTATTTTTTTTTCAGGGCCTGGACTGGTATTTGTGGTGTACCCTGAGGCCATCGCTATGATGACAGGCTCTGTGGTGTGGTCCATAGTCTTCTTCCTCATGCTCATCACATTGGGTGAGCAGTTTGAAAAGCGTCTTTAAAATGACAAATTTGCAGACGAGTTTCTTTCAGGGATTGACAGTACGTTTGGAGGCTTGGAGGCTCTCATCACTGGGCTCTGTGATGAGTACCCGCAGGTTCTTGGACGACACAGAGAGTGGTTCGTTCTTGGGCTCCTAGTGTTCATCTATGTCTGTGCTCTGCCTACCGTCACTTCGGTGAGTGTCCCCCCATTATTCTCCATCTTTTCCCACACTCCGGGGATGTAAAATCAGGCTTTTCTAGAAATTAGGTGCCATGGACCAGGAAACAGAGTTTCCGGGGATGCAAATATCGCGGGTCATTAGTCAAGGGGTTCCTTTCCCTGGATTGGAAAATGCAAAGCAGCCTTTCAGGGAAATTTCATTCTTCCCCGACTTCCTAAAAAATGCAAAGTGAACGCACGCATGCTACCCGCATTTTATTTGCTGGAAAAAAATTGCCTCGTCGGCAAAAATTTGAATACATTTTCGCGCGGATGGCAATCGGATGCCAATAAATATATGGTGTGACCATACAGAAACGAAAAAGATCCTTCATCCTAAATATGCTCCAACTGAATAACTCCCATTGATGCGAGAACACATTTTTGTTTAATCAGTACATATATTTCCTGATTCTCTCCAAGCACACTTCTTTCAAATTTTTGGAAGAAAAAATAGGGAACGGTTTAAAGGCTGGTACATAATAAGAGTACTGTATAAGATATATGGGTAGCTGATAAAAATTTTATAAAAATGTAACGCTTTGGTGCACCTCATATTTGATTTCCACAGAGATTTTCAACCAATTTCTAGAGAAAATTAAAAACACTTTTTGGGAGGAGGGAAAATTAGCACAGTATTAATTTGACTGTAATTCAAGTCAAAATATAAATTCTGATGGATTTTCCCCAAAATGTTTTAAATTTTCAGCCTCTCAAAATGGCGTACGCGTCTTACTGGAACTAAATTTTAATCCAAATTTTAGTTTGAACATTTTGGACATGCACCTTATTGGCTTGTGGTTCTTGAGTAAATACAGTAATGATGGTAATTGAGTCAGTATGGTCAATTATGACCTTTTCTAAAGCTTACACCGCCTCTATCCTATAGTGTCCTGTGCAAAACAAGCTGCTGCGCAAGTTTTGGGAAAATATTCCAGGATAGTGTTCTTCAATATTTTAATGGCCTGCAGACTGGTCAATTTCCATAAAATTATGTTGGAACCTGCAAAGTTCCAAAAACTTCTTGCAGACCAGAATACATTTTTCAAGTACCTGCCATAAAGTCCTCCAAGCGAAATTTGTACAGAACTGGATTGCAAAAATTAAAGTAAGAATGTGCAATTCAAAAATTAGTCAGCTTGGTTTCTAAAAATTTTTCTGAGAATGAATACTTAAAAAAGAATTTCAGGATGTGAAAATATATATGAAGTACAGCATTATTATAGGAGGAAAACCATCTTTTATTCTTCACCAGATAATTTCAACTACTGTATATGGCTGCCTATCCAAAATTTCACATCAACATAACAGACTTCATTCTACCTTTCATGAATGCATTATACTGAAGAAAATTTCCTACAGACTGGAAAAAAAGCATCTGTGGACTGGTGCTTGTCCATGGACCCCAGGTTGCAGACCACACCACTGTTCTTAGGACATTTTTTGTGGAAAAAATATAAGAAAAACCTTATTTTATCTTTGGGGAATCATAATTGTTTTTCAGATCATGGGAATCAAATCATTCTGTTATTGTGGATGGAATTATTCAACCCAGGAGCTTTTAAAGTTGAACCTCAAAAGCTTAAACCTCCCTGAGCCAATTTTTCAAGTCCCCATCTAAATTCCTTTAATAAAGCAATGCATTAAAAACTCTTGAATGCTTTTCCTCTCAAAACCCCATGATTTAAATTTTCTGAGACCTTTTGATGGCTATTATTTTCTCAACACTTGAAATAAAAAGCAATAAAAATAACTTGATGGGTTTTGAAAGGAATTTGAGGACATGTTGGACAAATAAACCCCTGCTGCCAAGTTCAGCATCCTGTCAACTAATTCAAGAGGCAATTGAAGGCCCAGAATATCACCAGTTACAATTTCTTGCAATCCTTGTATGTTCCCACAACAAAAATGCTTGTTTCCCAAACTCAAAACCTCCCCAACTTGAAACCTCCCCAAGCAATTTTTTTTGCTGCTCCCTTGAAGATTGACTTATTAGCCCTTGGATGGCTGAGGGTTCCTGGCCATCCTGCAGCAAAGTCAGGATTTTTCCAGGGGAGGGGCATCTATTTCAGTTAGGCAAAAGGACACTGAAATACCCCCAGGTTGCCAAGGCCTGAGCTTGGAAAAATCTGGGTGCAGAAAATCCCATTGTCTCAAGAAAGTCCAATTTTAATCCTATGCTGGGAAAGCATGAAAATATGCCAGCCAGGAAGGCTGGCATATTTTAATTTTATTTATTTTTTTCTTTTTGAGCCAAGAATTTCTGCAGGCTTATTAAAAAATATCAGACTTTTTCCTGACTTAGGCCTTGGTTCAAAAATCATATTTTTTCAATTTGTTGTCCTCATGTGGACACAATTTTGCCAAAATATCCCAAATTTGCTGCAGAAGGGTTAAAGAGGTTTGGCTATACTGTACTATATATATATGAGATTGGACTAAATAAGAAAAGAGGTTTGGCTAAACTATATATATACAGTACTATACTATATATACTATATATAGGTTGGACTAAATAAGAATCTTACTATTTTCGAGGAAAGCCACGCCCATGAGCCAGTAGGAGAATAAGTTGACGACCCATCCTTAAATATAGTGCTAACATCGGCGTGAAGCTTAAGCTGAAAAAAAGGGAGGGGGGTAGAAGACCAGAATGGTTCCGTTTGAAAGCAATGAACCGGGGGTCATCGGATGGATGGGATATAGATACATAGATGGATGGATGGCAGGAAACTTCTTTGATGAAGCGCCGGGGAAAAAATGGCGGCGTCCGAGGAGTGCGGACAATTAAGGCCTCCGGTGTCGGGCGCAATTTGGGGATCCCAGGGATCCCCGGGATATCCCGAAGAGATACGCGGGAACGTGCCTTTTGTTTGACTCGTTTGCGGGCTCGGATCGTCCTTAATCGCGCCGGCGATAAGCGCCGAAACACGAATTAAGGCAATGGAATCACGACCCTCTTCGTAATAACGACTGACTCCTGCTGCTGCTGCTGCTGCTGCTGCTGCTCCCAGAAATGATCCAGAAACCCGTGCCCCATTTTTATTTTTGTTTTTCTTCTTCTTCTTCTTCCGTATTTTCTATGACGGATCCCGGGCTTTTGTGTGTCGGGATCCCGGGTCGAAGACTGCCCTGTTTATGCACCTGTGAGCATCCCTTAGAATGCCATCAAGTCTCGCTCTTCAATAAACTGACCATTTTTGTTGGGCATAGCAGAAGGCCAAATTCGTCATAATCACCCTCTGCAACGGCAATGCCATCTATCCGTAATGATCCACACATGCAGTGTCACTTCATTAGTTCACTCTAAAAAAAAAAAAAAAAGACTTAGAATGCACTTTTTGCGCAGATGCAGAATTACGATTCAAGTCTTTCTGTACAAAATGTTCGAGTAGAATCAACAGAAGGAGAAATTACAAAGGTCCCTAAATTCATGTTCGCAATTTGTTCCAGTGGGGTGGACATATATACAATGAACTGATGCATATATAATAAATGGAAAACATATTTTTATAGGGTTCCATTGTTCGAAATATAATCCGTTTTTCACCAGTTTGTCCTCTAAAATTTCAACAACAAAAAACTTTTAAAAAGGCTGCAGAAAATCCCTGTGAAACTGTGACCAGTTCAGGGCATTGTGGGGAGCTGCGTTATAATTAAATTAATGTGGAAAGATTTACACAGGAATATCTTTCAGAATTTTAAGCTTTTTTCAGATGTTTATTATATGCATCTCGTTTCGCATCTGTTCAAACATTTCCAAACGTTAAATGGTCTTCTCCAGTTCTTAACCTAATATAATCAACTGAGCTGATAATTTTTCTTTTATTGAAAACATCAAAAGAACCCTTGTTGTTTCAAACTGAGATGGCTGACTTGAAAAAAAAAACCTCCAATAATTGCTTGCAACACTTTGGTGTGCAACACACATATATGCACACCAGTATTGCACACCCAGGCAATGCAAAACACACTTTTTATGCTTATTACTTAGCTCCTGGCCTGGAGAATGCCATCATGCATGAATACGCATCCAATTATTTTCTGAAGAACCATTTTTAAAGCAGAATATAACTATGAAAGAAGTTTCATGTATTAGTCCAAATGGAAATGATGAACTGTGTCTGAGGACATAAATTGGGATTTTTCGGGCATCCAACAAAGGACATGAATTGGATTTGACATTTGACGAGCCACAACCACAAATTAAGAATCATTGCATAAAGAAACTAATCCTTTTCTGCCTGAATGAGTTTTCTCGTGAGAAGCACAATCTCCTTTTCGGTAAAATTGCAAATGAAAAAAGTGCATCCATTGAAATGTAAAAATGAGTTTTTTTTATTTTCAAACGCAAAGAACTTTCAATAAAAAAGTTTTATTCAACAAAAATATTAGAAAAGTATAAAAATTCGTATTCTACAAAGAAACAATTCTACACCGGGGTTTCACCTTCTTCGTTGAAGTCTGATTTGTTCTGATGATCTCTGATGCATTATTTATTTATTGTCAGCTCGATAACGAAGATGGCAACCAAACTGACCAATTTCTTTATATTCTCCCATTGTTTTGATATTCCATACATGCTATGATGTCACAACAATAGAAACACAAGAGCCTTGATTTGCAGTTGATTTTCAAGTTTTTTTCCACTTCTTTAATAATTTGATGCAAGAAGACTTTCAAGAGGAAAATTTTCGGATGCCCATCTACAATAGAAGCTGCAATAGATGCTTTCTAAATTGAAACTCGATATGTTTCAACATTTCAAACTCCTGAAAACCCCTACTATTTGAGCTTTCGGGAATTCTGCATCAGCAAAAAATGTAGATCTGTAATCTTTATTTTAGCCACTAAAACGCCAACATTTTAGGTTGAAAAAGCATCAGACTTTCATCGTCTAAACTCTAAAGAGATTCTACAATTTTATCTCACCAGGAACAGACCACGGTGTCATGGGGATATTTTTAACTCATTGCCATAAATCCTTCTGAGACCATTACAAAATGCAGATATGACCTGTTTTGGGACGGGTAGGAGTTTTTTTTTAATATTGAATTAGTTTTCAAAGGAATTTTTGTCTGTGCCGAAACTAGTTAATCACATTCTAAGTTTAAAATAGAAAATGACTCCCATAGGTTCACCATAGTGATCCTGTACATGCATATTTGACTCATTTTCTTTCAACCGGTTTTAAAAGCTTCTGTCAAGAGGGATTTATGTTTATAATATCCAGCTTTGAATTTGAAATTAATGTACTGTACTATGAAAGGATGCAGACATGAATCACGGTGATGAAGTTTAAATCCATGATATGGAAGGTCATATCAAAGGAAAGATGCCAGCGTTTGCGAATGATCAAAATTCAAAATATGTACTGTATTGCATCCTCTCAAAGTGTCCATAAAAATCAAAGTTGGTATTCATTGTCTTGAAACGCAAGTAGACTTGGGGGATTATTTGTTGACCTCAAACCATTCCGCATATGTGTTCTTTGCAAGTGACCCAAGTCCATTTGGTTCCACAGAATTAGTAAGAGACCAAAGTGCATATAAATTCACAGAGCTACAAATTAGGAAATTGATGAATGTGCAACAATAAAGCAATTCCTCAAATATTTGGAATGAAGGGAATAAGAATGTATTTTATTTCTGCAGGGAGGAATCTATGTGGTGGACCTCCTGAATGCATATGGACCCAGTATCGCCATCCTCTTTGTGGTCTTTGTGGAGGCAGCTGGAGTGTGTTGGCTCTATGGAGTAGAAAGGTTCTCAGATGACATCAGGAAGATGACTGGCTTCAGACCTGGGCTGTTTTGGAGAGCTTGTTGGATGTTCATCTCTCCTGTCTTCATATTTGTGAGCCACCAGCTATCAATGCCGCATTAAATTAACTTAATGCAGGTTTTTTTTTTTAAATAAAGTCCTTATTGTAAAAGACTTACTTTCAATGGATATTATCAGTTTTTGATCGCATAGATATCACTTCCGGGATTGCCTTCATTTCACATTGGTTTCATATAAAAAAGATATCCCTCCAATTGAAACTTGTAAATACACCAAACAGAATTGTTCCAAATGTGTGTTTCATGGGGAAATTTGTCATGCTGACATATCTTGATTATTCTAACCTCCTATTAATTATGTGTGCTTGAGCAGGCAGAATAACTAACAGAAGCAGGCTAATCTGTATTTTCTATTATAAGTGATAAGCATAAAATTGAAGCTGGTCTCATAATGAGGGCTGGATCTGAGATTAGTTTCAATCAGATATAAAATCTGGTCTTTAATAATGGGTCAGTCTGAAAAAAATATAATAAAAGGGATTTTAAGAATTGTTTTCATCCTATTCTAGCATATTAATCCTAACCTATCCTATTATAGTACAGTAATCCTTTTCACAAGATTCAATAACACCCTTCCTTTTTACCAGTATTATATACCGATCCTGATAGGATTCAAACCTTTACCCTTATGTGCTAAGAAAATAATTAAACCAAGATGAGCACCCTTTCACGTTGGCATCGTTTGTTGAACATTCCTGTCTCAATTCCCAAGAAACAGTGGCATTATAGATGAAATTGTTTACTGGCTGTTCCAACTTATGCAGTTTTTTTTAATCTATACTGTCTTTTTAAATGGTACCAAAATGATTGTTTGACATATTGCCTGCAAAGTTGTTTTACAATAGTGGCTTACAAATTACCCATACACTTTTTCCCTTGTATTGTATTTATCTTTGGTGAATAATTTCCAGTCTCTAATATAGAATACATCTTATTGAACACTGGGGAAAGCTGTTTTTTTTCATAAATGCCAAAAACCTCATCTTTCAGAGCATATATACAAATGTTTATCCCTCTTCTGCTCAAAATGTTAGCATATTTGCTTGCTGGGTTTTGGTTATTTGGGTCCTTATGTTTTGTCCTTGGCCTGTTTAATAAGCAATAACATGAAATTTGATACATGTAACTAGATTTGGATTGACTTTTTTGACCATATTCTAGTTCATCTTCATCATGACCCTATGGAACCATGAGCCACTGAGAAGAGACTCTTACCAGTACCCTGACTGGTCCATTGCTATTGGATGGGTTCTGACCACTTCTTCCCTCATGTGGATACCATTGTTCATGGTGTATAAGCTGGCAATAACACCTGGAACTTTGCTTGAGGTAATTTTCTATAAGCGTATCCATTATTTTGGAATGTATATACAGTGGGATCCTGACATGCGGACACCACAATACTGTATATGGATGATTCAACTTAGGGACACTTGAAACTCAAAAAATTTGCCCTGACATTCAGACAATGTCTTGAGATACAAACACTTCACCAACATCTATAGACACTGGGAAATTATTTTTAAAATTTCGGTAGATATACCTTGAACAAATTTAGCTTTCAATATTCATCAAAATAAAATAAAAACTTGTATTCTGAANTTTACTATAATTCATTTTCCAAAAATGGTTAATTTCATGTTTCTTTTTTTAAACAGTTATTTCCATCATATGTGAACAGTATGCTAAGACTTACGCTTGTTCTTTGCTTGTGTAGGACCATACTCATGCCAAAAGATCAGATTTATGTGTCAGTTATTTATTGTAAAAGTTGTGAGAAATTATTTGTTCAAATTTTGGGGGGACTCTTTAAATTTTTGATTAACAGGAGAACCACCAAAGTGGGGAGCTAATCTTCCTGTGACCCCACAACTGGTGCACACTGGGGTCACAACTGGTGTACATGGGCTATTCTGGGGTTACAAGCATGCACCTCTGTAGATGAAATTTTGCTACCATTCCACGGCTACATTTGGTGCACAAATACTGTATGACATAACAGGAGTATCACACAAATGCACCAATTGTTACCTTGGAGTAACTTATTTGTTTGCAAATGTGACCCTGAATAATCCTGGTGTGAACACACTGTTGGTGCACATTAGGGATATACATGTGCAAAAGAAAAACTTTGGTACACTTCAGGTGCACAGCAGGGTCACTGTGTAGAATTACAGACATATCCCCAGTGTGCACCAATTTCCCCCCACTTGGGGCACTTAAACATATTTCCTTTTGAAGTCTAAAGGAAAACATGATCCAACATGTTCTGACACATAGGAACAAGGTCCAGGCAGCAGCAATCAAATGTCTGCATCTCATCGGCCCTACTACAGTATATTAAAATATGAGTTTCAATCGAATGATTTGCAGAGGTTGAGGAAGTCAGTGACTCCGGAGCGACCACCAGCCAACGAGAGGCTACCATTGAAGGCAGCCAACTCCGTGGCATCATGTGGCACCTCGGTGTCACAATTATGACTTGATCATTGGACTCCTGAGCCAACAGCAGGAGATCTGGTGCCTCACGATCACTTCACTGAGTGGCTGGTGTGAACCTCGGAAATCAGATCTCAGTGCAGCCAGAACGCATGTACAATACTGTAATATGATGGGCATTTATAGAAGCCGTAGGGCATACAATTACTGTATAGCTAATCCGACGCAGGTATTCTCCCTGATTTTGTACTGTACCACACGACGAGAGCGGTTTTGTATGGCTTGACTTTGTATGGCATACACACAAGGCATTCAAAAGCATTATTTGATACCCTTCAAACATTTTTCAGCGAGCATGTCGCGGAGTTGTACTCAGAAATAAACAAGCTTTTATCAACTGTTTGATCGAATTTATTTGAGAAAAGGTAAATTCATCTACTTCGTCTTCCTGATCTCGACAAGAAACTGGGGATGAATTACCTCATTTCTGACCTCAAAACGTGGTGTCATGGATGAATCTTGCGTTGCTCTCTTACGACATTTTGGAACCAGTTCGCTTAATCTTTACCCACGATGGACGGAATCATATACGGGATACGAAAGTCCTCCTGAATCTATTCGGATGATTTTAATTAACGTTGGATGATGATCGCTGCTGTTGGCGCAGACAGTAAATAGCCGATCATGCACCTGAATCGACTGATCGAAGATAGATGGTTTTTTATTCTTTCGAATTTAATTTTCTAAAAAAAAAGACGGCGAATGATGCTGATCAGAAAGTGACGTTCGGTTCGTGCTGTTCATGCAGTTTTTCCCTCACGTGTGACGTGCCTATACTGTCTCCTAAACGTTCCGAAAATTTTCGAAGCATGAAGTACGAGTCGCATTTCGGCGTCGTGAGAATTGTCTTTTTTTTTACGATCTTCTTGCGACCTACCGACATAACACCCGAATTGATTATATATTTTTCAGACGGTGTGTATAGGTGTCGCTTGTGTAATGCATCTGCCACTTCCGCGTTTGTGCTAGTGAGGTGGTGGGCATATATACGTAATTACATAATATACTGAACATAGATCTAGGGAAATGACAAATTATGAGTTTCCGTGCATTTCCGACGAAAAAGCTGAAATAAATTTTCTGATGCGTGAGATGAGAATTTTATGGAAAAAATTGCATTCATACGATTTTTATCTGACTTTCATCGCGTTTGCATATCAGACAAACATATGCTTAACAAAACTTTTTTACTTCTCATTTCCTTCAATTTTTCGAAGATTTCGAAGTTAAAATTAGAAAGTTGAACTTTTTAGCGTTTGGGCCTAGAAATTTCGTGCTGCGAGCCACTTCTTTTATACACACAAAAATTGTCGCAATGAAAATTTCTTATTGTACCGTTCGTACGGGTCTTCGCCGTCTTTCATTTACGATGAGGACCCAGCGAATGTACTGCACAGTACTGTACCTGCTGCGCAGGTCTTTCGGAAAGTGGGTACACACTTCCAAGTGTCCATGCATGAATATGATGGTGTTAGTCGATCGAGAACGAAATGCACTCGACTTAAACTATAGCTATCTGAACCCCGTCTGAGCAGTACAGCATGCAGTACTTGAGTCACTAGTCACTACTACAGGTGTACTGGTATGGATATGATTACCATCTGGGAATGTGATTGCGCACGAGGAAGGTTTTACACATCATCTTGATCTGGATTCAAGCTCACTCCACATCAAGGCAATTTGAATTTTCTGTCAGTCTCTCTGTACACAGCATACTGGATATGATTACCATCTGGGAATGTGATTGCGCACGAGGAAGGTTTTACATACATCTTGATCTGGATTCAAGATCACTCCACATCAAGGCAATTTGAATTTTCTGTCAGTCTCTATAAGTCTATACACAGCATACTGTCAGCTTGCCTTCACTACATGCCGTTCAACGCAAGAAGAGGGCGGTGGGGTTGAAAGCAACATTGAAGCATACCCAGCATACAAATAGAATGGGTATGCATGAATACTGTACAAATAATAGTAAAATTAAAATAGAGAACTCAGCAAAATAATTTTAAAGTGGCAAGACTTCATTTTGCATCCAAATTTACTGGAAAAGGTTTCCCTGGTACTCGAGTAAATATTTAAAGTGATGTGCCAACAACTTCTTTCATGTAAGTGAGGCCCTGATATGCCAAGAATTGGTGCTTGGACCTTCTCACTATGTTGGAACATCTGCATGTTGGATCACACATTTTCCCTTAAACTTCAATTGGAAGGTTCTCCGGTATGAAAGAATTGAGGAAAAAGTCCATTCAAAACAGGAGAACATAATTTGCGTCAACTTCTAGAGGCAGAAAAAACCAGACATGATTAGTTGGATTCACACAAAAAATTAGTCAAAAAAGCAAGGGACAAAAACAACATTTCCTATACTGTACAGTATTGTGCACAGATGCTAGAGAGCTCCGAAAAATTAGCCCGTTTTCGATTTTAAATCTTAATGAATTGAAAATAAGTTGGTTTTCAATATTTACGAGCATAAAAGCCTCGATTTTTCAAGAGATATCGAAATTTTGAAGAAAAACAATCCTTCCACTTTGCTGATAAGTCCATTCTTTGAGTCTGGATGTTAAGGCAGATTTTTTTTGAGTTTCAAATGCCCCAAAGTCAAATTGACCACACGTCGGGGTCCCACTGCAGTCGCTCAGCATGGTTCCGCGGGACACGCACTCAAGCGGGAAACGTTTCTGACATCACAAAAAATAAAAATAAGAGAGGTAGAGTCAAAAGGATAAATTGATTTTGAATGTCATTCAAGTTTAATTGACCATCAACTTGGAAACTTTCTCACAATTTCCCGCATGGATCCTGTCAACTAAGCCGAAAACCCGCGCGGAAAACCCTACACGCCTCCACCTTCCCCTCTGCCCAGTTGCCACTTCTCAGCTCCCCTGGAATGACAACGCAAGACTAAACAAACGGACGCCGATTGCACAGAAAAAAAAAAAAGATGCCCGCCATTGCACAGAAAAGCCGGCTTTTTTTTTCCTTTAGCCATATTGCACTAAGAGATCCGACTCCCGGATGGAAAGGAATAGCAGGACAGTCCCGCTCTAAACCAAGATCCTAGATTTCTTGACGAGGGGATTGAGGTGGAACTCAGCCATTGCACAAAAACGACTACAAACACTCCTTATTGCACTGTACAAAAAACTCTTCTTGTTCACCTTCCTTGGGCTCTTAGTCCACCTTTGCCACGTCTGCCACTGTCTTCTCCAACGCACCCAACAAACTACCGACATTGCACGCTCCCCGCAACGAAAGAAAAACAAAAACAACAGAAAAGAACCCATGGATGACAACTTTCCCCCTCCAAACTTCCAATGCAATAAATCCGATCTCATCTCGGTGTCTTCATCGTAAATTGTAACATTGCACGTGAAACTCTTCAAGAGTACACTAGCTTTCAATGATAAATCTTCAAATGCTACACCCAACACCGATCAGAAAAAAAAAACCAGCCAATTTTTCAACACCGAAGCGCCACCCACGGATAACTTTATCGAAGTATGAAAACCAAGAACTTTGGCTGGTTCAGAAACCTGATGAATTCAGATTATCTCGGTGTCCAACGAAGATGAAAATACGAATAGGAGCAAATAGAAATGAGACTTCCCGAATTCGTTTCGAAAAAATAAACACCCAAGAAAGCGAACGCTCGTACGTGTACGAGTTGTTTCTGACCCACAAAAAAAAAAAAAAAGCAGAGGATTGCATTCCGACACGAAGCCCACCCCTCATAGTGACCATCCATGAATCACTAGTACTCAGATTGCACGGCTCAAATCGCCCAGTTTAATGCGAAATCTACCTCGAATAAGAGATAGACACCGAAAGCCACGAAGAACTGCCCTGGCTTTACCACCCTCACACTGACCATCCAACGATGCATCCTACCCGCTCTTCAACTCCTCAAGTCAATGGGAAGGATCTGCATCACAGTAAGCTAGTTTTGTTTAGCACCAAGATTGGACATAAAGAAGTGCAGAGAGACATGGAGTGAATCACAGCAGCTACACGGAAATCACAGTTCTTTTCCTACGGAAGAACCTTGCAGCAAAGGTGGACAAGAACCCGTGGCACGAAAACAAACGAACAGATGGCAGAACCAAAAAAAACAAAACAAAAAACTAGCATCAACTACGAAATTCAGCCAAATGCAAACATGGCTCTCCACAGCAATTTTGCGCTAATACTCGAGGCAGTTTCGGCCGGCTTGAGCACAACACAGCGTCCGGAAGGAACCGTTCTTGCACCAACCCCCCCTTCTGCAACGGGTCTCCCCAAACATCTAGCAAATCATTTCTCCCCAGCTTGCCAAAACCATCAACTCCGCCCTCAAGCATGGTCCTGCTATCAACCTCAACAAGCGTGATTTAAAAGCCGTGACATCTGATAGGGTTCACCTGTGCAGATTGCACCGTTCACTGTGCTGAGGAATTGACCTTGAAAAAAGTAAGTTTTTTGTTTTTTTGTACTTGGCAAACAGCAGACTTCCCTGAGCAGGGGATCCCTGACACAATGCCCATGCTTGAGTGAGCGGAAGACTCTTGGCAAGCCGGCAGAAACAAGGGAGAGAAATGAGAACCAGCACCACGACAATGCGAACACAACCGGGGAGGCCAATTGCACTACGAGAGATTGCGGGAAGACAGCAGCAGGGGGCGCTGGTGGTGGGTTCAACTGGCCTCTTTGCAGCGCAGCGCGAGATCCTCCTGCTGCAGGCTGACCTGGTTGTTGTTGTGCTCCTTTGGCTTCAGACCACTCACGTCCTCCTCCAGCTTCTTTTCCAACGATGCCGGGTTCAATCTGTAATCCAATGAATAGCAAAATATCCCTAATCATCAACAGTTCACCTTACAGAAAGAATTCACCATTAAGTCAAAACAAAAACACATCCAACACCAGAAATGAATCTTCATGCCTTTTTCCCCCAGAAACAAGGATAAGAGAGAATGAAAGGGCATATCAATTTTTCGAAGACACATTTCTACGCTTCGGGCTTCACTCAAGCTCCACGCGACTTTTGACTCGCTTCTTACTGCGAACAAACGAAGGGATGCATCAAAACCAGCCAAGCTCAAACACCACATCATGCACTGGAAAAAATCCGAAGTTTCCACAACCTCACCTAATTTGCACAAACAATATTCCGTTGATGACGTTCAACATGTCAAGAACAGACGCCATCGTGGGAGGCTGAATGTGGATAGGGGGCAGGGACAAATGGTTGCCAGGAGGTTTGTCCACCTTGGCCTCATCAACCTTCCCTGTTGGCTTCACCGCGCACACCTGGTACATCTCATTCATCTTCTTCTGCATCACCACGGCTTGCTGTGTAAGATGGCGCAGGCACTCCGAACTTTCCCTGGTCTTCTCATGGTCATCTCCCAACTGCGGAAATTCTCAGGTCATGATAATGAAACGGCAAGGAACAGTTTTTTCCCCAAGAATTTTCAGTACCTGAGATTTGTAGATACCGTAGGTCTCTTTTTCATTGTGCAATGCAGACCGGAAATCACCCATGCAACTTTGGGTGCGGGCTACCAAATGATAAGACACTGCTACTTTCAAGCTCTTCACCCCGTAGTATTCTATATTTAGGGCAAGGGCTTTCTCTAGGAAGCGGAGGCTGAGGTCATACTCCCCGACCGCGTGTAAAATGAGGCCAATGTTACTGTCCAAGAGTCCCATCTCGGGATGGTTCTCACCATGGACCATGAGAGCCAAATATCGTGCTCGATAAAGCAGTTTGAGAGCTGTGCTCACTTGGCTGTTGGCAAAGCAGTACAATGCCATGTGGGCCTGGAGTAAATGAAAACTTGCGTCAATTTAATCCATTCTTTTTTTCGGGAATCTCCAAAACTTACGTATTCAGAGATGGTGTAAGGATGATCCACTCCATTGACTCTCTCAGACATCATCACAGCCTTCTGCTGATAAGCAAGTGCTTCAACATGGTCTCCCATGATGTAGTTCAGCCTTGCCAACATCCTCAAGCACTGAGCGATTTCTGTAATGAAGTCATGGAATACTCAAGATTGTTTGGGGCATTTCAACCAATAATCCATTCCTAGCGAGCGTCCACCCCATGGTCCCCTCTTTCATCCTTTGTTTTTCAAACATCAAAAGGTGCTTTAGATATTTTTCAGAACATCCGAAGTGAATTTTCAAATATTTTTTGACAAAATTTCCCCGAAATTTTTTCTCGAAAAATAAAGAAAACTTAAATTGACTTAACATAACCCAAACTAACTAAACATGACCTAACCTGAACTATCCAACCAACTTCGGACAATTTAATCCTTGAACAAAGCATTTTCATCGCTTTTCGTTATTTCAAGATACTTGAACCAGAAATATTCGTCCCCAAAAAGCAAGGGGTGAAAGATGGCCAGGAGGGGGGGGAGAGTAGGTGGGGGTGAAACGGCTTTTCGTTTAAACTTCACGGATATTCCCAATACGGAACCAACAACAAGGAAAAAACTCACCTGAATGCATGGCTCCATAAACACTGTTCAGAAGGTTCAAAGCCTCAGAAATGAGTTCATAGCCTTCCTTCAAGAACCCTTGCTGAATCTTGGTTTGGCCAGTGGAGTAGAAATTGAAGGCATCAGTTGCCCTAGGATTGATGTGTTTTACAATCGGGAAAACATTCACAATATCCTCCTCATGGAAAGCCTGTTTGGACCTGCTGTCCAAGTGGTAGTCTCTGAGCAGCAGCTGCACACCAACCTGAAAACAACCGATCACAATCAGTACTTGAAGCCATACCAAGCAAAAGAAGGTACAGTTAAAATTGATAACTTGAACCTCTGAACTTGGAATACCTACCAAAGTAATTTTTTTCAAGTCCCTGCGGAGTCCCTTGGAAAAAATGTACTATAACATTCCTACCTCGAAGGCTTTCCCCCCTAAACCCCCACACAACTCGAATTTTCTGGAGGCTTTTTGGATATCATTTTACCGGAGCAGGAAAGAGAAAAGCACCAAAAATTAATCTTGAGGTGTTTTGGAAGGAAATGAAGGACTAATTGGGCAAATAAACCCTCCCCTCTCAGTTCGGCATCCTGTTAACTCATTCAAGAAGCAATTTAAAGCCCAGAATATCACCAATTACAATTTCCAAAAGTTATTTTCTTTTTCTTTCTCTTAAAAAAAAATGTTCGTTCCCCAACTCGAATTTTTTGCTGGTCCCTTGAAGTTCGACTTGGTGAGGCACCACTATTTTAGGTGCGTATCATTTCTACCGCTGAATCTTGCTATCTTCACTGACAAGACAAGCCTCACTGGGATCACTGGCTGACACATAAAATATGACAGACGCATTCAAATCATAAGGGAGGGATATTCCCTCATCGAATATTTCAAGATACAAATCTATATGAAGCGGTCACTCAGCGGATAAGACTTCATCTGGTTTTCTTTTTGATGATCAACATTGTCGTTCTGTTTCAGGAACAGACGCAATTCCATCGAATATTCACACAACTAATTGGGCAAATAAACCATAATGCATCCAAAGGCATTCAACTAAAATCACTGGAGATGTTCAATCATTCAAATTATTTCCAGACCCCTGAACACCAGGTTTCCACGTGATCTGGAAACACAGTGACAACTGCTTCGTGAAGAGGCTTGAGTTCCCCCTCTTTGAAACATGAAGAATAACACGAACATTCAGGAAAGGAGAATTATGTAAAATATATGCATCGCTTTTATCTGCTCAGGTGATCATGATACCCCTCTTACTGGATAAAAAAAAAAACGAGGAATCGACGAAGTCAAGCATCGTAGGCAAAATAAATAAATACAGTTGGGTCCTCTCGATGTCGATTTTCCTAGACCCTGTCTGAATCCCCATGAGAACGAAATACAGTATAATAAACGTTCCCGTCTCACATTTACGGAGGTTTTTGGGGTAATATTTCGGTGACTGAGGAAAGAGAAAGGCAAGAAAAATATGACTTGATGCTGTTATAAAGGTAGTGAGTGACGAATTGGTCAAAATGACCCTGTGCCTCTTAAGTTAAGCATCTTGTCAACTGATTTATTCCGCAGTTTAAGGCCGAAAAGGTGACCAATTTCAATTTTCCGTCATTTAATTTTTAACTCTTGCAAAAAAAACGGCATTTTCCCAAACCTCTCCGAGTCAATTTGTTTTGCAGATCCATTCAAGATTGACTTGAAGAGGTCCAACGGTAATAATAAGAGAAGCTCATCAAAAAAGCTCTGCTGATAAATCCTACATCGGATTCAAAACGTATCCCATACCTTGACGCAGAAGGCACGCAGAAGTGAGACCTTGGCAAATCCGTATTTATCCACAGCACTGTCCACCGAGTCAGCCTGGAGCTCGAAGGCATAGCAGGCCTTCATATCCTGCTTCAGACGCAACCACAGGCTCTTCGGAGTGAGCTGGACCCAGTCTGATGCAGCGGCTCCAGGTTCAGAAAGTTGATTTTTGCGCAAGCGGTTTCGACGCTTTTTCGCATTCCGGGTTTGCAATTCTTCATCGCCGTAGGGTGTATGCGGGGTAGGGCACGAGGACAGCAAACAATTCAGAAACAGGCTGATGGCACTCGACAGAGACATCATCTCCACTCCCTGATGAAAATGATACCACTCAGTCTCTTAAAGTGGCGAAAAGTGGTCAAAATCAGTCTCACCTGCATGTAGGGAGCGTAGATGTGCTTGGCAGACCTGCTTATCATCTCAGTCACAGCAATATTGTGCACATACTTGAGCTGGGGTTCTTCAGCCAATTTCGCGGCAATCTTCCCCAAATACCTGACATTGATACCCCTGTTATGCAGGGCTTCAACGAGAGTAAACCCATCTGATGGCGACAGGGTGTGTTCCAGACACTCCCTCACCTGGATTTGGAAAAAATGAATTCACACCAACGACACAAGGCAATGATCTTCTCTACACAATAACCTCTCTTGCGGATATGTTACATAAAGCACTGGAAGAATGAATAAATGATACAGGAGGCTTTGGTCTGAAAAACGATGGCAACAACCCCCAGAACAGATACACTTCAGCAATTTTCAAGAAAACGATCGTTGTATGGACGTGGTACACCACCTATTAATGCACGAAGAATAAGTTTCCTGCATTCTTCAGGAGTCCACCAGTGGAAAGGCTCTCTGGAATCAGCACAGCTTCTAATGTGGCTCAAACTAAATACTGTAGCAAGTGTTAATGCCAAAAGATTATTTTTTTATGCTTATGGCTGCTGATTTTTCTTACAGGAATCTTGACCCAAGGAATGTGGGAATTTCTCCCCACAGCCCAGCTAATTGGTACAAGACTAAGTTAACCCCACACAAAAATAAGAGGAGACCAATCTAACAAGGGACTACAGTAGACAGTTGGGTTTATTGATCCTCCTGACCTTAGCCAAAAGGTGAACGAATTTTCGGGGTCTAATAAAATTTGAAACGATCTGAAAAGAATGGAGTACAGTAATTTCTTATAACACTTCGAACTTTCTTCGAATTTCAGGAAAATAAGTAAAAAGCATTGGGAGAAAAAAAAACTCTGCCACTACACTGAAAAATGAACGAAATTTCCAGATCACCCCCAACATAGGCGAATTTTCTTCAGACGACATGCTGGCCTAAAATTCGGCTAAAAATTATAAAGAAGGAAATGAAATAGTTTGATCCAGATTAGAGGCCTTTCGGACATCTGACACCCCTTGTATTCAGAATTCAACAACTGTTACATCCCATTGAACTTCACAACACTTCAAAAATATTACTGTACGGTATAAAAGCTAGGCGAAAAAATCAATCTCCTGAACAATATTGCAGGTATCCAAGGATATACGAAGGTACATGAAATCTAATAGCGGTGGGATTTCACAGTCCTCGATAACACACACACACCCTACAACCGATCAAGGAGAAAAGGAAAAATATCTGGATTAGTTGCATATTTCTACTTACGAAGCCAGGAATTTGGTTCTCGACCAAGAACGCAGCGGCATCTTTCACTAACCGCCTCTGCTTCGCCAAGGCAGCTTTGTCAGCATGCTGCACCCCAGGGGAGTACACGTCGGGGTTGAAACGTATGTCGAACTCAAATTGCTTCAGGCTTCCAACTACTTCAGCAGCCTTCCTCACGATCTCTTTGGTAGTCTCTACAACTACAACGGGTTTTTTAAAGAAAAATTCTTGCATTTAAAAACCAGTTTCTGCATACCGGGTTTGTCACGCTTTCCCAACTCGTCAGTGATGCTTTCCACGAACTTCTTGTCCTCGTCAGACACTGTCTCTTTCTTCTCGTCATCGTCCTCTTCTACTTTTGCTTCCACGGGCTCTTCGTTCGTGGCTTCCTCTTCGGCCCTCAGCTCCCTTTTCAAGCCCAATTGCTGCAGATGCACTGCAGCGTACTTGATGAAAGTCACATACCTCGTCCTGTAAATACAAAATTTTCGAGATATTTGCAACTAAACTTCAAACGATGTCTCGGAAATCCGTTTTCTCCACTAGTTCAAAATTGCAACTGCATCATGTCATAACTAGTTCGGTTAAATCTGGGTTACAATAAGTCACAGCAGGCAGGCTGTTTTCAAGTAGGTACGTTCAGTATAAGTTGTTTCTGGTCATGAGAAAGGTCGGAAGACAAGATTTGGAGGAAAAACTCACTCGACAAATGCTTCGATCAGCTCATGGCGCAGGGACGCGAGCTTGTGGGGCAGCTCAATCGGAAATCCCATGGCTTTCATGGACTCGTCTGGTTCATCGTCTTCCACTGTGAACGAAATTAACTTCATAGACATGGCTACTACACAACCACAGAACCACGGATTTATTGCGAATACAGTACTGTATTACGTTTTTAACAAAAATATCAAACAGAATTTCGTACGAGGTCCCGAATCATTCTTTCGCAATTTTCCGGTATTTCGTCACAAAAATTACAACGCAGGAAAGACGCCAACGACCGAAACTGTTGAACGAGTCGGAAAAGTTAATGAAAAAAATTCTGGGAGCAGGAAAAACTTACATTACAATACTGTACTGCACATTGGTGTCAAAAATTCTACTCCGAACCCCATGAACCCCCAAATACGAATGTGGCAACGTTTACGCACAAAAAAGGTCCCCGTAGCAAATAAGACTTCGGATGACGTCACCATTGAATTGAAATTTGATATGCAACTCTCGGTGACACACCTACTCTTCAAACAATTCATCACGATCGACGTATTTTTCACGGGTTCCACGAATTTCTTACTGCACAGTTATGTTTCCGACATAGTTTCTTGGTTATCTACCGTGCGTCAAATTGATTTACTGAACCAACAGTGGGTCCTCGCATAACGAAACAAATCCGTTCCCGGGCGCATTTCGTCAAGCGAAACGCGATTTCCCGTCAGATTGCACTTCAAATTCTTAATTCGCTCCAGACATTAAAAAAGTCCAAAATAAACAATTGAAACTGGATGTTTTACCCCGAGTTTTTTAGTGTAACATCGTTAATTTTAAAATTCATCAGTACAGTATTGAAGTAACTTTGTGCTCTGACCGCATTGAATTTTAAAAAGCGTTGGAGGCAAGAAGAGGCAAAAGTATACCTTTTTTTCCTCAAGTTTAATTCCGAAGTTTCAGCTGAAAACGTTGAAATTTGTGCGAAAATTCTTTACTGTACGGGTCTTCCGTTACGCGGGGACCCACTGTACTGACAGAAAAACAGTACTCACAGACAAGGAAGTTGACGTCTGCAGGAAAGGTCCTCAAAAGATCCAAAATGTAGTGTCTGCCGTCATTCCCCACTATCCCTTTGCATTCCACGGATGAGAACAGTTCAAATTCATCCCCAGCACTGTTCAAAACTTTATGGGGAAGTATCTTCAACTGGGCAGCTGCTTTCTTGAGCTAAAGCGCGCGAGAAATACGAGCAACGTATACACTTGCACGCATCAACTAAGAACAACTACGCACCAGTTCAACATATTTGTCGTTGGTGACAACAGTCTTGCCGAAGTCAATGGACCCATAAATGACACTCTGCTCCTGCTCCCTCTCGAGGATTCCAGGGATGATTGACTGCGCGGTGACCCGGTAACCGCGATAGTCAACAACAACAGTTCCCAAAGTGTACAGCCCTTCCACATCAACAGCACTGTATACCCTGACTCCAACCAAGTCACAGCCCTGAAAAGCATGGATTCCCATGAAGAAAAGGTTCGTCCACATTGAAGCTATTCCGGAGTACATTACTTCTGAATTTAGTCCACTCAAATCACACCAAGGTAAAAAAATAAAAATATACATACAGTATATATATACAGTATACAGTATATATATATACAGTATATATATATATATTCGTTTCGACAATTTAAGGCCATTTTGCGTTAAAATAATCAACTTCGACGTTGGATTAGGTTTGTTCGATATTTGAGTCATCAGGTGTGAGATAAGATTCGGCTACTTAAAAATTATTGTGTTTACTCAAGTATGAGGCTCTCTCGAGTAAAATACGCAAACCAAACTTTTAACCACACAATTTTGATGAAATCATATGAATTTCAACAATGATTTTGACCGTTTGATAGATAATGTCAAAAAATTCCCACCATGACAGTGTGACGCGTATCTAAATTTTTTCAAACGGTATGAAAGTTGTTTCCCTGCCTTTGACGTGCACCCCCATTTTATCCTATCAATTCCAAAAGGGATAAGATGTGCGCGTGTGTAGTCGGATTGTCACATTTCAGCATAAAATCCATACAAAATCATAAATTCAAAATCCTGATAGGAATATTTCACAAGGAAATACGAGCAATGTCAACACTAATCTACAAGGTCATCCATAAATGTGACTTACGGGTGCAACATGTGCAGCCGCATCACCTCCGAGCTCCCTATAATGATCCCTCACATCAAAACCAAGTGAGAAAAAGATGTTGTTCCAAATGAACATGTGCATCTTCGGGTCTTCGCCGGGATTAATGGCCATCACATTCCCATCAACAACTGCCATCGCACCCCTAGTCGCCGCTCCAACGAAGTCACTGTGCACCTAAGAGGAGCATGAAAATTTAATAAAATCAGTACAAATCACGGAGAAGACGAACAGACAGTTGCTTAAAATTTAAAGAAGATAAACTTAAAATCTTGTGCACGCATACAGTCGAAAACTTCCAGAAGACTAACCTTGAAGATGGCTCTCTCCCTGAGCAGTCTGTCCGGCAAGGCTTTTCTTGGTAGCTCCCTAGTGGTTTGCAGCTCTTCATTCCAGTCCCTAGTTTGTCCTGGTATGTGCTCCTCATAACCGAGCTTCGAGGAAAAGGCTACGAAGATGAAAAAAAAAAGGTCAAAATAAGTCGAACAATTGGGGGAAAAAAATTCGGACAGAACGAAACATTCTGATGGAACTTGCCATCTTCAGCGCGGAGTGCATCAATCGAGTGTGGCACATGTGGCGCTACCCAAGTGTAAACCTGGTAAGGAGTCGCAACCCGCTCAAACGGGTGCCTCTGAGTGCGCTTCTTCTGCAGAAGTCCAAAGTTACGCTTGAAACCAGGACTTATTTGCTGCAGGAGCTCAATAAGAGAGTGAGCCAGATGATTTGGACTCGCAGCTTTCGGACAAAACTCGTCGTCAGTCGACTGGTTCACGAAAAATCCCCGAGTCGATGCCGTGATATGGAATCGTTTATCCTCCAGGGTCACCACGAAGACATACAGCAAATCCCCATGCAGTTTTCTCGGTCCTGGCGGCGGGTTCCAACCGGAAGTCGTCAGCACCTTGGGAGAAAAATGAATAAATTTGAGGCAATGAAACCGCAGACTTCCTTCAGCAGCAGTGCTCAGCAATTCAAAAATGTGACCAAGAAGTTTCTGTAAAACGAGATCAACTCAATTGAGAAAGGTATTTTTCACGGATACATGAATAGCCAGAACACTGGTCTAGAGCAATTAACCCCAAGACTGACTCGAAATGTGCCTCCTATCACTTGAGGGACACTTTTTTGTACATCTATAACACAGTCGAAAAATGAGAAAAGGCAACATATCACTGCTTGCCAGATATAGAAGCAACGTTTGTTGCCTCCATGTGCAACAGAACCAGCCCCGTAATCCTTTTTTCTGCAGGGCTTGTGAGCCTCGCCAAAACCTTGTTTGGCAAAGCTCACTAAGCCTTGAGGCCAAAGAAATGGTCATCAATTCTCAACTTTTTATCTTAGAGGCCGATTGTGTGTCATGAAGAAATCAGTAGATTTCTCCCTGACCCAAGGGGATCCCCCAGCTGAGAAAAACCTTTATCCTTCTTGGGAAAAGTTGCCAGGTGCTCAAGTGAGCACTCGACACTAAATTAATGCTGCATTCATCAGGGCTAACCGACTGGAATACAAGTCAGTCTTTTCAAAACAGTCAAGACAATTTAAAGCACTACGAAGGAACTGCTTCATAAAGAGAGGAGTCCTTCCAAATCTGAACTCTGATGGCTGAACCTTACCCAATTCATTTGGGACCCAATGAACCCGTGGCTCACATGAATGGTTCTGATCTCAGTGAGCCTAAAGCTTCTGACCCGTCGGCAAATTTCGCTTTCAGAGGAAAGAGGCGATAAGAGATACACACCTTCAAACATTGCGGAGCACGAGAATCCTTGCAAACAGGCAACAACGGCAAAATCGGAAGGTCCTTCACTCCAGGAAGTATAAACTCGGGTGGGGTACAATCCACACTCTCCAGTCTCCCCTTCTTTTTCTCAGCTACAATATACAATTTAAACGTCAGGTCACGTCAGACAAGGTACGAGGACTACGAGCAACGTCACAAACTCACCCTGAGTCACAGTGGACAGAAAGGAAAGCGAAGTACACTCCACACCAAGGTAGGCATCACAGGGATCCAAGCACTTCAACAAGTCACGGACATGCCTGACATGAATCCGCGCTTCACGAACTGTGTACGGCTCTTCAACCACCTAATAAACAAAATTTTGAGGACATGGCAGTTTGACAAATCAAAACCGGAGACAAACCTTGATAACAGAGCCTTCCTTCAACCCTTCGATCGACTTCAACTCGGCGAAGTTGTCCAAAGTCTGGGTGTTAAGCTGTAAGGAGAAACAAGTCCTATGGCACGTGTCTTCCCTGTCCATCAGCAACTGGTGGATCTCTTGCACCAGCTCCATGCTACTGACCTACAAGTAATACCAACGAAGCGCTCACAGCATAAGTCGATTCAGCAGTGCACGTAAAGCCAATACAAGCAATGATGAAAAACATACAGTGCAAAAATAGTACGAATAATCTAGCCCAATGGTCTGCAACCCGTGGTCCGCGGACTGGCACTATTTTGCATAAGTTTCTTGCCACTCCGCAGGAAATATTCTTCAGCATAATAAACTCAGAAAGGTAATACAAAAGTCTTTCATCTCTAGCTAAAATTCTGGGAAGTCATTCGCAGTTTAAAATATCTGATGAAAAATGAAAGGTGACTTTCCTCCTCCTACCACTATTTGAAGTGTTGTGATCAACACACTTCAAATTTTCAAAAGCTGAAATAAATGATTCAACTATCCATTCTAAGAAATCTTTCTTGAAGCCAGCTTTCTAATTTTTGAAGACATTCCACTAAAGCAGCTTCATACGTGTCTGGCTTAATTTTTGCAAAAAAAGAAGCGGTTGGAGAATTTTATGGCAGGTGATGTATTTGAGAATTTCAAGCTGGTCTGCAAAATTCTATGGAACGTAGCTGGTCTACAAAAAAATTGTATGGAAATTTGCTGGTTCGTAACGAATTTTATGGGAATTTGCTGGTCCACAGGCCCAAAAAGGTTGAGGAAAACTTATATTTTAGACAACCGGTCCTCACATTGTGCTCATTGCCTTTAAAGACTTTCATTATTTTTGAATGATCAATCTTCTGATGGGAACGGATGCATATCACCACGAGGATACCAATGAAGTCACCAACGCAACGAAAGTTATCAGAAAAAGGTTCCTTACCAATAACCCGCTCATTCAATCAAAAAGACCATCAAATGAACGAATGGATAACTCAAAATTCAAATATCTTCGAAGAAGGAAAATCAGAAGAAACACAGATGACGTCATAACTATCAACTAAAACGAAATTTTAGGCCCGAGTATAAAAATCTACCCGAGCTCGCTAATTATCTTTCTATTGAGATCACCTTCAATGTCGTGGTGCTAAAAGAGTCTTAATCTCACTAAATTATCTCATGCCTGAAACATACGCTTTCATCGCCAATATGTCCATTTTCAAGGTCATTTCCTAATTTGGTGGTAAAAGGGATGCGTTTTCTCCCGAATTTTTTTCGAATATACAGTGCTGTAATATCAGGTTCGCACTTCGAAACTCGGCAGTTCTAATTTTAATAGTCTTTAGCCATTGTTTCTACCCTTCCTCATAACAGACATTCGTATCTTCTGCTTTACCCTGAACTGCTACCCATTACAGCTGTTCTAGTGTTTTTTCGCAGTTCCAGTGCATTCGACGTTCACCATCAAATAATTGTCATCATTCTTCAATTAATCAATATCTACTGACAATTTTTTTCGATATTTAAGTCAAAATCCTACACGCTTGATCCCATTACAACTACAAACCTAAATCCGAAGTAAATATCCAGTAAATGCAAAAATGAACAATAATTACAGTAATCTCAAACTTGTCGGTCCCAGGGGCATCGATCTTGACGGTAAAACCAACTTCTGGTAGAAAAAACACATCCGAATCCTTTTCCTCTTCCTTCGTCTTCGTGCAGTCCGGGTCAGATTTCGTAGAACTGGCGTCACTTTCACTGGAGTCGCTTTTGTCCAAACCTGAATCAGCACCTGAACAATAAAAAGCAGAATTCGCTGAAAACATACAAAACAACAATAGCGACGTTAATTTGTTTTTGAAAATATAAGAAACATTCTCGATGAACCTTTCTGAGAACTGTATAATGTTTTACCATCACAGAACAATGCGTAATGACGGTAATCAAACGAATGTCGTCTGACGCAATTCATCCATCAGAAACCCAATGAATCTAAGTTCAGCGAGAACAGCAGTCGAAATCAACGTGGATGGAATTATGTTCCGATGAACAAGCTGACGTTTGAAGAGTTTTCCAAGAAAAGAAAAAAAACGATGATCCGTTTCAACGAAACGGCAGCAAACTTTTTGAAAGCAGCGAACATATCGAGGTCAATACACAAGGCTGATACTCCAGACAATCGCAAGTAACCACGAAGGGTCTGAACGCATTTCAGTTTCGACGAGGTCAACACACATCACGCTAAACTTACACCATGCACTGGAGTTTTTTGGAAAAATAACCACACCGAACTGTTGCTCAATGGAACACTCCAGAGGACAACTAATGCGCAACATATGTTACTTCGAATTCTAATGGGGAATCGGCAAGGAAATTAGCAAACATTTGCTAAATCTTTCCCAAGTCTCCTGCTGGGAAATTTTACAAAAATCCTCCACCAAAAGCAATCTGATCAATATGATATTTTACACATACAGTACTGTCATATCTAAAAACGATTTCTGATGCTTGACATTTTCTTGGTCATGTCATGGCCTGGGCTGTTAATTTTCCCCCAACTGAACATCATCAGAAGTACGATCACAACCATTGCCATAGTGATAGTGCAATATATTTTTTAGCCATTGCAATAGCGATTGAAATTGGGCATTCATTTCTTAAATGGTTGCAATTGTACTGTGCTTGCGAACAAGGTAAAACGCGTGTACTGTTCGGTGATCACAATCACAACCAGTACCTAATAGCTGAAGCACGTTATAAATTCTTCTTTGACAATGTTGCATTTTTTTTATAAGAAATCAACACGAAGTGTTCAACTTCGTTCACTGACTGTTCAACTAAAATGCAACGCAAGATGCAATTTTGATTTTTTAAAGCTTCAACCGCAGACTGGCTGACACAAAAGAAAGATTTTTATAGCAATTTTTGAGATGCTAATTCTATCGGCTGGAAGAAGGTTGAGCATTCATTAGTGGAATAATCTCCGACAAAGTAGATTTTCCTGTATTTATATTTTCAATTAATTGATTCCTTCACACGGGGATATTTTTTCTACTATTGTATATCAAAGCAAATATTCTTCCATATGATGCAAAATTAATGTTAACATGATAGTGTATCTTTTTGGTACTTGTAGACACAGTAATGGGATTGCCTTTTAAGTTAACTTGGTAAATCGGAAAATTATTAGTGATTACAACGAATCTAAAAGGCACATTTTGGAACTAGTGCAGATAAGTGGGAATACCACGGCAATTGCGATTGGCGGGAAATACGGTACATCGCGATTGGGATATCACAACATTGTGGACTTGGAATATTGATAGTGACTGCGTAATTAAATTTTTTATTGCGATCAACAACCCTGAATCGACTGACAATCGAAGCAGTTGACCTACGAACTACAGTAATACTGTACACGCATGCTCTGGTACTGAGATGGACTGCTTAAATCATAAACCAGTAGGAATAATGGAATTATTGGTTCGATACGGTGGGTTGAACAGTTCATATCGCACAGCGAAGCAATTGACTCTTATCTTGAGTAAACCTTTGCGATGTTCTTTCCGGCTTTCAAAACGGGAATGAACGAGGTCTAAATTCGAAATTTCCTAGACGACAATAGACAACGTCTACGACATCCTCACCTCACAAAGATACACAAAATCTTGCGTACAGCTGACCTGACATTCAAAAGAAGAACACGACAATCAGAGTCGAACAAATCTTGGTTGGTACTCGTTATAACTGCCCTTGCAAAACTTATGCATTCATGTGACCATGTGCCAAAGCACACACAGCACGAAGTGGAAACTTCGAGCTTGGTTCGTTCGGATTCAGATGTTACGTAACGATTGTTTTCTTGCGCAGCAACGGAGAGGGAAAATATTCTAGTACGAGAGGGGACAGATCTGAAGTACGGTATTCCAACAACGAAGAACCGAAAATCGCAGGAAGAAATACCAACACATCGATTGCACTTGGTTGATGGCTTTTCTCGTACACCTATTTGGCAACCTAACGCTCCCGTCACGGATCACCCCAATCCGTGTCCTCCCTTCACCCGCTTCCAACAGAATTATTTCTTCTCATTTTTACTACCGACATCAGACTGTCGAGATAGGGCTCGGAAATGCTCTATTTTTTCAATAAGATATTCAAGCTTCACTTCGCGGCAATATTCTTTAGTTTCTGCTCAAAATGTTCAAGAAAACGCGCTGATAAAATCGTTCCTACTTCGATGTCTCAGTGAGTCAGCACGATTACAATGGAACGAAGGATCAAGGAAAGGCAAATAGGAAATCAAATCTGGGAGAACAATTGCAGTGTCTTCAAGATCCGGGCAATTCATTTCTGAAGAAAACGATGAGCAAGAATAGTTCAAAAAGCGTCGACGTCATTGTTCAAGAAAAATCGGAAGAAAAATTAAAATATAAATTTTGAAATTTATGAATAAATACACTTTTTTCGCATTGCAAAGACTTCGAAGATCTCATGCTGTAGTTCAGCTTCGAACTCGAAGACTCAATTTCCATTTCAGGTGATAATTCCGAAGTATCCGAACTTCCATCTTCTAAATCTAAAGCAACAAAGAATGCCCCATGATTGCTATCCAGAGATGTCGAGACAAAAGGAACAATAGGAAACGGCAAGTTGCTAGAAAAAATTATCAGAATATCTTGACTTTGAAGCCACAAGAACTGGAAAAGTATGTTACATAAATTATCGAACATAGCTCGTCTCTCACATACGAATCCAAATAATGAGAACCGAGGAACAGAATCTTTCATAAACTTGGGCGTAACTCACCAGAAGCTCCGTTGGTCTTCATCGGCAACCTCTCCGCAGGAGGGTCTTCATCTTCATTCACCATCTTCACATCTTCGATCTTCCCCATAACGAAAAAAAAGTCGTCGCGGTTCGTCGCCACGGAAAACCGAAAGAAAAAAACACCAACACACAAATTTCTCCCTGCCTCACAAAAAACACGAAAAATTCAAATGGCTTATCGAAACGCATCTGACCCCAACATTTGCATCTCTCTCTCGAGTGATAAGAACAAAAAACCTGCAGAATCACAGTCCAAAGTCCGAGGGAGGGGGGGCACAAACGTCAGAGTCCCAGTTTACCTGCGGATGAGCAGCACGAGAGTATATAGCAAGCATCATTCACAGGGACGAAGCGAAAAGGCCAGGGGCGCGCGCGGGTCTCGAGAACGCGATCTCGTCGCCGGCCGGCACGGTGCCAACTGCTCAGCTGCGGTGGGGAAGGAGCCATTTTTACCCCGTGGTCTCGTGACCGGGATGCCAACAGCGTCAGCCCGCGAGCGCTAAGACTACGAGCTTCGCTGGCCACCCGGTCGGTGTCAGCACACTCCGCACGGCCGGCTACACCCGCCCCCACCACCACGACGACGACACCAGCGCCACATCCACATGATTCTGCCAATACCTCCTGGCGCTCATATGGCACTCAGATGGCGTATCAAGGGGCTCGGAACAACGCACTCCTCCCAACTACTTGGAGGGGTAGAAATAATTATCCGAGCTTCGGTTCTGAGGCATGCCCAAGTAATGACTCTCACTCAGAATTAAATGCACTTCGAAATTTCAGGGGAATGCCAGTATGACAGTGTGGTTATACTGTATCGATATCAGATGTGATAGAAAGGATAAATACAACCTTACAATGCTAAATCAAACGGTCCACCAGACCATGACACAGCGTTTGGATATCTGAGTAAAGACGCACAGATAAACAAGGTACTGTACTCTGTAACCTCAAAGTCAACACTTGCAGCAGATTCGAAATTTCCTTTCTCAAAGAAAGGGAAGTGAGAAAATAGTCCATCAATAAGTTCAATCAATCATAAAATTCTTTTACATGCTTTTCTGCTTATTCGGGCATCACGGCAAACGATTCCCGGAGACATTCAATAGCAGCTAAACCTTACAAAAAGCACTAGAATATCATTCTCAAGTATGGACAAAGCAAGAATATGAAATGGGTGAAAAGCTTGGCTGCCTTTTTCCTGCTTTTCATGGAGTGAGCATACCCAGGCCGGACATTTCCTGTTGGTGACGAAGAACCACAATCAATAGTTTCATCTCACATTGGATCACCTGAAGATTCTGAAGTTCTCATGCATTTTGAGCACTACATTGTACAGTGCAATAGTATCTTCACAACAATCTTGTTGGAACGAAAAAACGCTGACAAAAAAAGTAATCTTTTAGGCCCCTGCCCAATAGCCGCAATCTTGAATGAGTTACTTCATCACACATTTTTCGTTAAAACGAAATCAATTTCCTGATCCCAACGGCTTCGGTGTAACGAGATTTTTATGTATACATTATTTCACTTCGCGCAGGAATCATACAACCCTCCCATTTATTAATTCCACTACAATAGAACTGGTATGAGGCTACAGACAAACATCCACGCCACTTTTGGTTTCCTTCGGTCTTCCATACCCATGAAGCCATTTGACTAAGCGTAGTCAGCACTTCGGAATTCATGAAGTTTGTGAAGCTTCATGAGACGGTAGGCTGTTCAGGAATTCGCCTGGTAAACTAAATATGCATCGTGCGCCAGTATAAGGGTCCGCATACTACTACTGACGGCGGAATATATTGTACTGTACCACAATTCAGAACCTTCGCCGAGAACCGCACCTTAAGCGCATAGTAAACTACCAGTCATTTGTTCTTCACAGCGTGACTAAAATCTCCCATCAAACAACAGTAATGAATAAGGATAATCTTGAAGTAGGGTTCTTCTTTGCTGTAGCTGTCCCATGGGCTTCCGAACTTCCGTGAATTGCCCACGAAGATGGGCATGGATCACGTGTAAGGTAATGTTAGGTATGACTTGAGAGTTAGACGAAGTTAAGTTACTTCAGGGTTCGGTACAATTACTTGGACAAAAGGCTGGGTTAATTACACAGGTAGATTCTCCATACAACACGATTTTGTCAACAACTTTCTCTTCATAACGATTTTCGTTTGGTACCATAGGAGGGGTTCTCAATAAAGAAGTTTTTTCTTGCCTCTTGAAATTCGTTGTAGAGTCAATCCGCATTTGAACGGCGAAGCGTAAGAAACTGATAAGCAGTTTTGAAAGCAAACATGACAAAAACTGGAACACCTACTTTTCAAGGCATTTCTCCACGCAAGACGAAAAGTGTAATTCGACACTTTTTACAGGAATCCCCAAGTCCCCCGGTTCCTTCTCGGAGCAGCGAAACAATGGAGCAAAAATGGAATATCGAGAAGCAGGGGAGAAGGGTGACGTTTTTGGGGTTCAAAATACTGTAGTAGTTACACTAACTAGTATCCCCAGGGGTGAAAATCGTAACGTTCACTTCGCGAACACATGCGACACAAACGCATACAAAACAACCCCCCGAGGGTAACAAGAAGCTGTTGACTCGGAAGTTTCCGGCGGTAACTAATCACGGAAAAAGAAATAAAAGATGGTTACTTGACGAGCGACATCCTCTAAGCTGCCGAACACTAATGAACTTCCGTGGGTTCGGAAAATATCGGGTACCGCGAGAGCAGAAGGGCGCTCGTTCTTCGATTCTGGCAGAGCCTCCTCAGATTCGAAGAATAATAGTCGATTTGACCCCCATCATCGGAACAACTGCGTCATGAATCAAAACCCAGAACATTCGAGGGAACAAAATTCGCAGTAACACGTAACTTTCCCAAGACACTGTACAGTACATCAATACAGTACATAATACTGTACGTTGCTTGCTCTAGAGTTAGACAAAGAAGTTGAAAGAATCTATTGCAACCTTGACGATTTTTCTTTGCTGAAGTTACTCAATCAGTGCTTCGGTATCAAGGCAAACATACGTCAACCTAATTACAAGATTCGTTTCGGTTAGCCAAGACACATACAGGTGGACTCTCCCTACAACGATTTTCTCCATATAACGAATTTTCCCGCGTCCAATAGGATTCTCTCGCCATCCTTTAAGTTTAAGGGTTCTCTACAACGAATGCTATTCGAGTCCCTTGAATTTCGCAGTTGAAAGAGTCCACCTGCATTAGGCCAATTGACTTTGGGAGCCAGGTGGAATTAAATGTGGATTTGGTTCAATGTTTCATAGGGCATTGTATTGTATAGACTATAGGTTAGGGTATAGTTACGTAACATGGGTGGGGTATTCGTTATTGTGACACCTTTTGAAAAATGCGGAGTGCGGTTCCTTGCGAGAGGTGTAGGGCTTAGTCTTTCTAGTGTCACTTGTGATGTTCGACTAGGCATCAGAAAAAATTATTCACTAATATGAGGGGGACAGTCGAAAAAACATAACCTGAAATAAATTAGGAACGAATTCTTTAAATTAAATGGCGACTCGGATCAAGCCACTTCAGCAACGTCACCACTGATCGATGCCCGCAGAAACTTCAGAGAAAACCTTCAAATTCTTCACCGCAACGATATGAATACCATTTTTGGTCAGCGAAATAATCCCGGAAGCACACTGCATATTCTGAACTTCGGTACTGATAACTGAACTTGGTTCACGCCTCAAACTCACAAGATACCCTTCAAGAAGTTTTCCTGAGCCGCTCAAAAAAAAGTGAGAAAATTTGCATTGACTTCGGAGACATCGGAACTCCATTGCATTTGCCGTTGTCGGGAGTAACCGAATTTTTTTTTTATAGAGAATTTCCTTTAGATGTAGCATGCATGCATGCAACGGAGAATACTCGTTAATGAAATCTCAGAACGCTGAAGTTACGCTGCATAATGATGAACGAACGAGGAAATGTTATGGCTTCCACCAAAAAAAATCGAAGAAAAAATGAGCACTTATAAGGCTTCACAGGAGCCAACTTCAGAAGCACTTCAGGCTCAACCAGGCCCCAGATAAAAAGCATATTTATCAAGTATCCTGAATTTTAACGGCGTTCTAGGTTCTAGCATCATCACAATAGAGCACCCTGGAAACACGAAACCAATCCAAACATCCCCGAATACTTGGAAAATTCACTACGGATGGTAGTTTTCAATGCATGAAAAATTAAGGTCGACAACAAAAGAGAGGATAAATGAAATTTATTAGATTTATTCATTTACAGTAAAGTATTGCACACGAGTTTCTGTTCGATTTATATGACATTTATTGATGAAGGGCTTAATGCTACAATATAATACAGTATTCTGAATATTTCTCGATAATGTATCAAAATTCGAAGAGCTGTTACAATAAAATATCTGATTCAACTAATATCCACGAATAAGAGATTAATTACGGTAATCATAACAAGCAGACTTGCACGTCAAGTGGGACATGCATTATGCACCCGAAAAAATAATTCATCTCCGAGCGGTTACCATTACAGTTAAAATCACGTTCACAACAACGGCATTTACGTCTACCGTATCACTTCCGAGTATCACTAACCAAGGAACTGAGAAGCAACCAGGGATTTGAGAGCAACTGAGGGGCACGAATCAAGCAACGAGTTCCAGGAAACGCGGAATGCAGTTGCGCAAGAAGTTAAATTCTTGAACAAATAGCACCCACCACGGCACCAGCGACGGGAAAAAATAAATAATCTCAGAGCGTACCCACCGATGCACATAATATTCCTCTTATGTGACACTGAAGCTGCGTAGAGGGAAAGACGACGTCGTTCGTGTGCGTGCCTGCGCCCAATGCGTGCACCAAACACGGCTCAAGGAATATTCAAAACGATCTCCGTTATTCAACAAGCGCGGCGTAAGACAGCCATGCGCGAACATACCCCCCTTTCTCACAGACAACGTGGCACACCCGGAGAGATACTGACACTAGGACAGGCGTACAGAAAAGATGCGCCCCCACCAACCTCAGCTGTTCGCTACGAACTGATCCTACGCTGCCTCCGACCCTCTCGCTTCACAGCTTCGGACCTCGCAGCGTTGTCAGGTGGGTCCTTAGCGTACCGCCGTTGAGATACTGTAGCACCCTTACTTTAATGTAGAATAGGAGTGAGCGCATAGCCATCGACTAGATACAGTAGAGCTATTCACAACCCGGAATAGTGCCTCTGTTCGAATAGTCAAATGGCACGATTAATCCAGGACAAATGAAGATCGTTTTATTGTACATTAATACAGTATATGCTTGCCCAGGAATGTATGAGAATGTAGTACATACGTCTACACCTCTGAATTAGTGTACATTGTACAACATTAGTCTGGATAGTTCATTCCTTCTCAGATTCATGGTAAGAATTCCAGCATTAAAAATAAACTCATAAAAGAACTACACACAGTATTGCATTCCAATTGAAGAACATCAAATGCACCAACCCTTCCAAAGGATTAAACTAACCTCAAGTAAGACTTTCGAACTACCGTACTGAGTAATCTTTCACTAATTCTTCACAGAATCAACACCTATCACCCAGAAATCCTAACCCTAACAGCAGCGTCAACGAAGAAAAAATGGAGGATTCTTGCGATTTGCATCATTTCCAAGAGCAGGAGCGTGTCTTGAAGTACGTCAGACTCGGTAATTTAAGAAATAATGCGGAACATCGACAAATAATGAACTTACAGACTGAAACCGAACAAATTTCGGATATGAACTATCAAATGCAGTACTGCAACAAAAGAAACAAATTCGTCCCTCAACATCGCGCTACAAGGATCGTCATCGCGTAACGCGTTTCAGGGTAACGCGTTTACCTGAAAAACCCACATTCGTCATCACAGCACTGAATCAATGCCAGAAAGCAAAGGCCTCATATATAGGTGTGATAAGCGTAACGGGAGAATACATGAAAAACGCTGGCAGAGGTGAAAATCTTCGGGGCACACGAAAAGGGGTACTCAGCATTTCAAATACTAAGAACCGCGCACAGCTTTAAGCACGAAGACCACTCCCATGATCATTCATAAGACGATTAAGGATTCAATACCTCTCAGCCGCAGAGAATGCACTAAGTAAAACAGTTTCCGTAAGTACATACGAATATTATCTGCGTGATATTTACATCGATGGTTTCAATACGTTATAGTACTGTACTGGGCACTAAAGCCGCTTCCACCTGACAACCTTGCCGACCGAGCCTCCAGGCTCCAAGACGCCGGTTAGCAACAAACTGGACTTCATTCCGGCGAAAGATGTCCTGCGGCACCGCAATGGTAAATAATTCTTTCATATGCACACTGAAATTCTAGCTGAGGAAAACTTGCTTCGAAAAATTTCACACCGCGTGCCAGAGCGGAAATCTCTCCTGAATCACGTTCCTATGCCAAGTTTCCGAAGGATTCTCATGCCTTCAGACAGAGCATCAATACTGACAGTTGTCTCGTGAAAGGAACTCACTTACTTGAAAGTATGACACTATACGCTCACCAGGTGACACTCGAGAAGATCATTCCGCTATTCGCACCTTTGAATCACGACCACACCACAACTCCTAATACCACTTTCTCTTCCAAGCGTAGCACTGTAAATGCAACACAGTTTCAGGAAAAAGACCGCGAATGACACTCTTACGCCCTTCGAAACAGTGTGTAAGGCAGGGTGAGACTGGACTACTGTACCCGAAGTCACCCAGCACCTCAGCCAGTATCCAAAACAAAGCTTTAGCCAAGTATTTCAAGCAAAAGCCATGTCCTGGTACCAGCTGAAGCCCCAGATATTTGATTAAACAAAAGTAACCAAAAGAACGCATAAGGATGAACTGAAATTTCAAGCAACCTCGCCAACAGGATCCGAAAACACCTCGAAAGTTCATCCGGAAGAAATAAAATCCACAACCGAAACCTTCACCGGTGACCAATAACCACAAGCAAACACGGTGAAACCATCAAGAATTGTCTTGGTTAACCATGCAATGAACTGTCACGTTTATCAATTTTTCTGTGAACATCGCACAAAAATCAACAGCGAGGGGTAAGAACCTTTCACCCCAGCGTAAGGAATTTCAAATTCAAATCTCACCGTTGGGTCAATCCAAGATTATGATGTTCCCTCACCATGGCAGATCACTTTTCTACAGTATGAAAAACGAGTTCAAGCAGACTGAATGACCTCCATCCAAACCCAACACCGGTTTCTCTGAAAAATTATGTTCATGATCAGCGGAAGATAGTACAAGGTGAAGGTCGAAAACTGTATTTTCATGGTTTCATCTCATTTCCACCGACAGCACACAAAATGTCAACATATTTTCGATTAAATTTTTCCTGTCCCGTGTTTTGCGATTGAATAAGGACTTGGGATACTTTTTTTTATAAAATACGCAAAAAGACTCATCAGGTTATGTTCAATATTACCTGACATATACTTGGCCAAGATAGATAAACATTCCAGTCTGATCCTAAAAGCTGAAACTACAGTATAAAATTACGATGTCCAAGGATGCGAGGAATTGAAATTAAAATTAATCTTCCAGCTCAAATTCAGCTTCTACAGCATTTACAAATTTTTCCCAGGTTCCAAAAGAAATACAATTTACTGGCGCATCTCGCTCAGAAACGTAGCAACATTCAAATGAACACGCAGAACTGCGATACCATGAAGTGAAAGCATTAAAATTTTCTGATTGTTCGGAAATGCACCGTTCTGGAACATTTTCATGGATTCTTCATATAATTATTGTACGAAAAACAAACTTTAACGTTCCAGAGAAAGGTTTGTACAGGTGGAATCTCTCCACAACAAACTTCAAGGGACAAGGAAAACACCAGTGTAGAGAACCCATATTACATGGGGAGGATCCCTTTTCGTATGGGATAAAAAATAATTCATTACGAAGTACGGAGAAAATTGTTGCTGGCAAGATCATAGTAGTCTGTACCTGCATTTATATCTTGTTTCGGATAATTAAATTGAAAAAAACTACTTTAATGTCACCTACTTCAGCTAAACAACTCACCTGAAACCTGCCAACCGAAGGCAGAAAGGCTGCCACGTTCTTCAACAGCGTTTCAGGGAACCTGCGTCGGTAAAAACGAGCTTACCACACTTCACTGGGCATAACTCATCAACCGACCTTCTCGTTGGGGATTTCACCCTTAATAGATCGAACGGCAACCAGGAAAATTGTCCACCACCACATATAAACCACGCACGGCAACACTTCTTCGCCATTTTGAGAACCTGTGTCGGAAAATGAGCTTACCCTCCAGGAAATGAGGTAGAAACTCACTGACCGACCTTTTCTTTCTTTAACATCAACTCCAACCAGCCTCTGAAACCAACCACAACCATTTAACCTGGAAAAACGGTTCCCAGAATGAAATCGCTGAAGAAATTCGATTTCCCTTAAGGAACAGCCACCAATAGAAAAAGAACTTTTTTACTCAACAGCACCAAGCACAGCATTCATCAACCACGGGATTTGTTCCTTCGGCGATAGTCTGTTAAACATGCTTTTCACCACTGGCACGACAACCCTGTTTTCTCCCTGCAACAACTCTAGTTTCAACGCTGCCACTCCTTGCAGTACCTCGACATTCCTGCACACCTCTGACTCCGGAATGAGACTCACTAAAACCCTAAAAAAGACAAGAACAAGAAACATCAACGAAGATCCCAGCGAAATCAATTCCTGCTTCACCGACTTCATCCCAGGCAATGCTGCATCCAACTTCATTATTCCCCCGCAGCTCACAGGAACATTTCCAGAGAGCAATATTAGATGATCTGCCAAAATAAGAAAGGGGTTGAATTCTTTTCAAGAAGTGCAACCTTGAAAATTAAGCAAGCTACACATCGTACGTAAAATACTGTATATGCTTTCTTTTGAATGAACAGGGCAGCTGCCAGAGCTTTCTTGTACGAAGTTTTAACCGTCTCAAGCAATCGTTGAACTGCTGAACTTTCAACTGGCAGAACATAGTGCAATTATTCGAGGACGACACACAAACATTATCGATACTGCTCAAAGCTACTCATGCCCAAGTGCACGAAAGCGATCTGATTATCCACGCTAGAGACTTTATATCTCCGTCTGGATACACAAATAATAGAACCTTCTATTCCAGGATGATGTAAGATTCCACGATTCAACTGAGCGGTCTGTTCACTCGAATGATCGACATACGAGGGTTGTCCCATACCCATTTGACGCGACTTCCGTTATTTTTAGAGTACGTGTGATAGTGAGAAAAATCCATGGCATACCCCATGATTTAAGGTTCTCGGTCTTTTTTCGAATTAAAAAAAGTTTTTCAATTTCCTGCATTAAAAACTTTCCTGTTTTTTTTTTCAACTTCCTACAAAATATCAGAACAGAACATCATGGGCTATGTCATGCTTTTTTTTTTTTTACAATCACACCTACTCAAAAAATATCAGAGGTCGCGTCCAACTGGGACAACCCTCTTATAACCGCGTTTCTTTTACAGGATTCGAATCTCTCACGAGGATATGGAACTAATCAAATCAAAGTGATATTGAAGCCGTTTTCTTTTCTCTTTGAAGAAAGCGAACTTGATGCACATTTGTTCAATGAACTAGGATATTGGGTGCGGTATGACACGGGTGATGTAAAATTCTAGGAAATGATTGGCTCCAACATCCCACCACAGCACAGACGTCTATTCGCCGACAAAACTGAGCAAGAATATGAGGTTGGAAATCGGAATGTCCGAGTAGAACATACATTCTCGCTCCCACGAGCATGACTTCAACTGGAATTGCGTAGAAGAGGCGACAAGACTAACCTGCCCAAAGTCCATTTTCCAGCTGAACTCCATTGGCGACGTAATCCTGACCGAAAGCCGCTGCTAAAAGTGTCTTCAAAGTCTTCCCTGAACCTTTCGGAGACGACGTGCCACTGAGTCCAAGAGCCGCACGGAGTAGCAGAAGACGCATCTGCGTCCTGGGGCCTGTTAAAACTTGTCTTCCTAAAGGTCATTCATACAGATCGCAACTAGGAACACACCCAAGTTCCCCTCTAGGTTTGATGACTCTCGCAGCAGCACAGCTGCCAAGTCTTCGAAGTCCAAATGCAGAATCCTCAAGTTCACTGCCAAGTGTACCAACTGCGCCGTTGACATGCCCTGATCAAGAGTAGGCGTACTGCACGTTAATTACCATTCTTTCGAACTCATCCGCAATGAAAATACAAACCTCTGCTCTTTGAAATGCCGGATCGTCCGCAGCTTTAATAGCCTTACTTCTGACGAAGTCTCCCAACATTTTAACTTGATACGGTCTGTAGTTGATCTGAGCGAAATATGACAACGCAGTCGCACCATCGACGAGATCGAGCTCTTTTCCGTCTTCCGAAATGGCATTCACCAGTTCTGCACAGAGGTAGTCAGCAAACTCAACCTGATGATGGCTCTGGGAAAATGGCAGAAAAACCTTCAGAATTAGAACTTCGCTCTTTTTTACTTTTTCGCCTCTTCCAGGCAAAGGAAACAAATGCGACTCCGAAATTAGCGCATCCTGACTGCGTACACAAAGAATTATTGAGCTTCAGTATCATCGATAAAAATATTCATTCACGAGGATTTCATTAATTTAGCCCCACCCGAATAAGCACATTTAGGAGTTCTCGACTAAAAAATCGCGGTAGTTTTCGTAAATCACACATTTTTCTCTTCATACTCGAAAGCTAGCTTTGTTTTGCATTAAATCCAACAGATTTATGGCTCACCACAGAGCGCAGAGACTCAGCGAGGAATACGAGTTGCTTGATGGAGTACTTCTCTACCATGGCCACTTTGCAAGCCCAGTCGAAAAACCGGGCATCATGTGCCGCAGTCAGCTTTTTTGCAGTCAAAAGCAGCAGGCCTGGCCTCACTTCTGAGTTCTCGATTCCAACTAGGAATTTCACAATTGCCTTGAAGAGACCGCCCGTATCGAGACCACTGTCTGCCATTGACATGAGGATATGGCAGGCATTTTGAGGGGATAACGTGCTCAGATCTGCAAGCCTCAACCTCTCCAAAATCGAAGAAACTACTTCACTGGGGACATTTCCTTGCACAGAGAACTTGAGATACACTGCCAGCTGGTTAGGGTCTTCCACCGCCAGGGAATCAAGCTGGAATGAAACAAAAGATAGTGAGACTGTCAAAGCGAGAACTTCCGTGGCGATAAATTTTAATAACTTCCCATTCGAAACTTCAATGACGAATACTCGCATATTCACGGAAGTGAAATTAAAATTACAGCCAAAATTCGTAACAAAATATCACATGAATTCGGATTGCTCTTTTGTCTTTGTTACAAATCTGCAAATCTTCAATCTTGGGAACACAGATTCGCGTCAAAACAACATAAGTCAATATGATTCTAATTTACAAAAGGAAGTGTCGCTGCGCTTTTCTGAGAACATGTGTCACCCAGACCCGACCGCTCTTTCGATGGTATCTCCAGCATTAATTTCAAATTTTCAAATCACGGATTTTAATCCGTCCTCGCCCGTCACTTCAAACACCTCCTCGTCAACACGAAACTCGTCGCTTCTCTGTGTGTGAAGCGGAATTATAAAAACTACCACGCTGACGAAAAAGCCTCGAACTTTCCTCCGAGCAAAAATTTCAATTCAAGCAACCAAACATGAGACAAGTAGAACGGATGAATTGATTAATATGCATTCGAATAAAGGCATGTTTAGTTATAATTTTGAATACTCAAGAAAACGGACTTTTTCAAAATGTGATTTTTTAAAGAATATTGACACTGTAGTGGCGTTAGTTTCTTGTTCATAATATAACCGCTTGTTTCAAGCAACCCATAATTCGAAATACCGTTTCACGCGTTGACTGGGGCTCATTTCACGGGTTACAGCGTCAACGCAAAGTGCATAAATTTATCCAAGCTTGTGCTTGATTTCACTTGGTTAAAAGGCCATATATTCGAGAAATCGCGGCAGTTGATCGTGAATTCATGTAAACGCGAGATATTCAGGACAAAAAAACTGTCGAAAATGACGAAGTTTACGCTATGCTCGGAGGTTTCTGGGAGTCTTCACGATTGCTTCAGAGAAAAAATAGACATGTTTTGAAAAACCTTCACCAAAATGTTCTACTAAATGCTTTTTCGTTTATTCCAAAATAAACGGCATTCGACACGCGAATCCGTCGACTACAGTACTTCATGAAAAATATGTTGATGAACAGGCTTACTTTGTGTTTGAACACTATCGGAAACGCCATTCTCAGGGCCTTCACGGCGGGAACAGCCTCCAAATCTTTCAGCAAGAAGTTGACGTAACATATTTCGTTTAATGTCAGATCGTTCACCAGCCTGGTGAGCAAGTCCAGACACACCGTCATAGCAGGGCTTGATGAAGGTACCCTCAAAGCTCTCAATGCTTTTATCACGTTCACCAGGTCTCCAACTTGAAAAAACCTCGCTCGTGAAACAATGCGGTCACAGAGACATTTGAACCTCGGATCTTTTGACACTCTGGGAAGATGACAAAATACCAGAATATTGTATTAGAAAAACTAGAAATTTATCCAAAATGCTACCAGATGACTGCGATGAATAGTGCGGTAACTACAATATTAGAATTTCCGCCTTTTCTGCAGACGGCTCATTCCTGAAGGGAGAACCAATACAAGATAGAATATGGCATCATTCTCATTCCAGTTCGAGGAAATCATGAGTTTCCATGAATACCACGTCAACTTCACGACACCTCAACACGTCTGATTAATCTTCTCGTTGATTTATCGTTCCGTTATTGCAAAAGGTTTCTCAGCAACCCGAGCACTTGGGCAACCAGCACGCATTCCAAAGAAATGTAGGCATTTCTCCAGAACGGAATACTTCTTTTGGAATGTATGCCACACGCAAAAACTCCGAGAAATTACAATTTATTTCTCGTCGTTCGAAATTGCAAGAACTTTGAGAACAGAAGAGCGTAATTTTGAAGAAAGGATCGAGTTTTCGTGCAAGCACGATTTAAGCTTTCGTGGTTCCGAAAATGTTTGCATGAAAAAAAATCAGAACAAATATGAATCACGCAATGAAGTACGGTAGAGTATTGGAGAATGCTTGGCATTTTTCAACACAATCACTTCGGTTTAATCATACTGTCTGAGGTTTAGAGCGTTCCTTCACATTTTGCCCGAGAGATACGAATTCAGAAGAAACTCGGTAGGTTGGTTTGTGGAATCGTAAAATTAAAATAAAACAGTCGTGAGTGACAATAAAACAAATTTACTTCAGAGATGCTCCGGAAAATTTTACAAAGAAGTAGTCCAGCAAAAGAGATGCATCTTTTCTTGTACAGTACTGTATTCATTTTGCTGTTCTCCTTCGGTAATCAGAGGAATAGGATTTCGTTAACGGCAGAAAAGCAAATGTTCATCAGGAAAATCTTAATGAGAATTGACAATCAAATCCCCATTCCCTTGAACGCAGCTTTGATTGCTGTACACATCACCGTTATATAACACAGCGCACATTTCAATCATTCGGTCACCAAGTAAGTCAAACTGGATAAAAATTCAAAGCTTTTTCAAGAACATTCATCAACTCTACCTGCATATTATCCATTCATATCTTCTACCACACACGTCGGTTAATCTTGGAAGCAACTAAAAATACTGTGTACTGTACTTCTTAAAATCCTGTATCACCTTGCTCGGTCGGGAGCATGGTGGAAGGCACGGCTTTATTAAATCTCACAATCCAATATCTTCGGGTAGCAAGCAAATCAAGCTGTATGTGCCCATCGAACGGGTATCCACACTTACTGACGGAATCAAATACTTCGCCACATTACACGTGGGGATATTCGAGAACCAGTAAACCAAGAAATTTCCTGGTGATCGATCTCTAACTCACTCGACAGAGCTTCTTCTAACAGCTGCATGCAACTGCTCCAAAACAGACAAAAGATGTTCGTTGTTCATCACAGAAACATGTTGTTCCACGAGGCCGAGCAAAGCAATCTCGGTTTTTGCACCGGTCAGCTTTTGCCCAAGGATATCTTCATTCTCTGGTCTTCTGCCTGAAACGAAAACGAACAATCAATGTCAGAGACAATTCGCTACAACTGTAGCTCACTCACTGATGACACTGTAGGAATAACGCGATGTGCTTGTGGGTACGTGACATGCTACAAATCGCGACTGAGAACTCATGAACCTCGAAAGAACATTCCAACGAAGCATCGTTCTCAATTTTAACACAGGCAAGCACAGCTCTGCAAGAATCACGAAAAATTCAAAGCATGCTTGAATACACACTTCAGATCCATGAGACACGTAGTTTCGCATAAAAATAAATTAACCCAAATATTATCCGTGAATTCACGTTACGACCGTCGCACGGCACGATCAGCCGATAGGCTATCAACACGAACGGAAGATTTGCCCAAAGAAAACGGAGCCCACAGAAACTTGTCTGCATTAAGAACACAGTGGCGCCGACTTTCTTTTACGACAGTAAACGGCGGAAACCGTTAAGAGTAGAAGACAAGTCTATTTACAAAATAAATCACCGAGAAGCCAGGTCGCAAAGCGTATATCCTCTGGGGAAACAACAATGAGATGCCGGATAGAATGTACCGAATTGAAAATGGCCCACATACTTCGAAAGGATTACGGTGTGCTTTCGATAATTTTTCAAAATCCATCAAGAATCAACCACTATGAAAAGTTCGGAGTAGGCGGAGAACCAAAGCCATACACAGTACAGTACAGTAATAGTTATCGTCTCTCTTATCAAGCGTATCTTCAAGATTAGAAATCTTGTAAATTGTAAGCCTCGACTCAAAAATCTTTGATACAGCTACAAGATGTCCGAGACTCCGAAAATGTCCGCTTCAGTGCATAACTTCCGGCACAAACTACAGAAATAGTGTATCTCCATGCACTACACGCAAGAAGAAGATCACTGTCTAACCACTGGACGTCAGATACGACGCCACGTTGCCAGGCAACCAGGGCATCGTGCGTGCAACTTGGGGGATCACTGCGGATGGAAATTCCAGCGGGTCACCTTCTGGTGGGGGAAGTGAACCAACCTCAAAAACTAGGGAATGATACACGAACGGTAAAATACAGCACAGTATTGTACCTAACTTGAGAAATTGGGATGATCTCAACTCGCGGTTTTAGGCCATGAATAACAGTGCAACAGTGCATTTTAATTATCAAATCAGTGAGCAAAAAAATTTACTGATCGACAGCAAAATGGTCGAAAACAGGTACTGAATACTCTTTTCAAGTTATTCACCAGCTCATTACGGTACAGTATTTAAGCAATTGCAAGTGCAGTACTATACTACTCCAGTTCATTGTACGGGGATTGTGCGTGAACAGCGTTTTTGGGGAAAAGTTAAACTCTTGAACAGGTTTTATTAATAGGCCATTTTAGCAGCGTTATTGAATAATGATACACAATTTTTAATAATATTCAGGATATGTATTTACATTTTGTATGAACAGCAGTTGAACCCTTGCAATTAAGTCGAACTCAGAGGGATGAGGGACCCACAAAAATACAATACAATGTGGGAGTGTTCATATGAATTATTAGTGAAAACAGCTTTTATGCTGCTAAAATATTGCAGGATGATAAAATTTGTGCGCTTCTGGACCTTAAATGGCTGGATAAATTATATTTGCTAGTACTGTATACACACAAGCAATGCTTAACTCGAATAGCTTGCAATGGTACAATTGCTCAATAATACAGTGAGATCTCTATACTGTACTTGATGAAACTGTAATCTGCTCCGCTGCTGGATTAATTTTGTTTTGCAGAATTTTTTACTGTAATGTAAAAACATTTTTCCTTAGTTTACATATCAAATTACTTCTATCATTGCAGGCACTCACCGAAAGACAATAAAACTTGAAAGCGATGTTTTTGTAAAAATAATTTTCTGCATCTAATTGTTTTATTCTATAAATTGGTTAGAATGAAATGCACTAGAAGTAAAACAATAGTAAGTAATACGATAAAACTTGAAAAAGGTGTTTTTTTAAATAATTTTCTGCATCTAATTTTTTATTCTATAAATTGATTAGAATGAAATAGAATTAGCCCTGCCCTGATGATGACAACTTCAAAATTGCTCTTCACTATCTGGATGTTGAAAGTTCTAATGATGAAAAGATGTGAAACTATGCATTTTGTTTCTCATTTTCCAGGTTCCCGAAAATTTTTGGAGTTTCAATACAAAACTATCGATACAATTTTAGCATTTTTGGCAAAGGAATTTTACGTTCAAAATTTTTGGTATGCGAGTCATTTTCCCCATGTGATTTTCTTTTCTGTGAGGGCAGACTTTTTCCTTCTTTGACTTGATCTTTTATTACATGGAAACTCACTGCTTGTATTGTCACCCATCCACTTTTTTTATGAAAAGCCCTTTTTATGTTACTTTTTTTTTACTTTTACATTTCTGGTTTCCTGAAATGGATGAAAAGGTCTCCAGGAATTTGACTTACTGCACATATAGGTTTTGAGGAGTGAAGTTTCAGAGTTGTCGTCTATGTATACAATAACACTCCCTGTTCATGAGGGAATTCAGACAGAGACTAAACAAAATGTAACGTGGGAAGATTTTTTTACCCAAGGGGAGATTTGAGTTACCATGGTTCATGAATTTTATTTTATTTTTGCCATCAATATCTTAATTAATGAAAAATTAAAACATTCAAGTACTGTACCTAGCATTCAAACTAACACTGCTGTTTTTGTTTACAAACATCAATTCACATCTGATTTTTTGGAGCACATAAAAAGAGATATATCTCGCAAGTATTTGAGTAAATGCTTAAATACTTGCCCTCAATTGATCAAGAACTCCGCAATTTTTATTCCGCCTTCACAGCAGCCACCACTCAAGGATGTGGCAGCTGCGAAGGCAGCTGTTGATGAGAATGGTGGAATTACCTTGGAAGACCTGTATGAAACCTTAGAATATCAATGCCAAGTCCATTTCAAGGATGAAGGGGAAGCTGGGCTACATCACCTGACAATCTGCAAGATGGGTGCTTCACCTTTTGAGTGATTAGCAGAAAGTTTCCAGGGTGCCTTTTGCAAAAAAAAATAAAACTAATAAAATCTGTCAACTAGGGCTAATTTTATTTTTCTTGTGTCCAAGATTTTTTCTATACAATCCATTTTTAAGCTCAAATCATATGTGATCTCGGTTTATATCCCAGAAACTTTTGTTAGACCCCTTGTAGCAGTAAATCAATAGCGCAGATGAACAGAGTTCTACTGCAATTACAAATTGGAAAACAGACAATCTCCACCATTAGATTATTTTTCTTCATTGAACCACTCTAATACATAGTGGCAAAATCACAAGAGGCAATGATATGCTGATTCCATTTGTCTGCAATGTTACTTATTACAGTAAAATCTTGTTGCAACAAATACTGCTGCAACAAATGTTTCAGCATAAAAAGCATTTTTCAAGTACAGTATTGGCTGAAATCCTGTAGGGTACATGTTATGAAAATCTGGTAACAATAAACTTGCCATTTCCAGTACAGCAAACTTTTTTGAGGAACATCTTGTGAATTTGTAATGAAAAATCCACAGTGAAGGCAGCAGAAACAGTTTAAAATTTCCCATTCCAAATTTAACTGTGTTCTTGGGATATAGGGTGGAATCAAGGAAAACATTCTTCAAAATGCACCTGAACATCCTCTTACAAAATTTTTTCCTAGGCTAGAAAAGATGTGAGGGGTCTGGAGATAAAAAAAAATGAACCCAGCAAAACCCATGTTAAAATGGGTTTGTATGCTTGAGAAACCCTACTGATGATGCCTAAAATTTTAAGCTTTTTAGAACATCCACGCTTAAAAATCTGTGCAGGAATTGCTTAGAAAAACTTGAAGTCAACAATAAATGCTAGTGTTTACCTGTTATTCATAGTAATAGTTTGTTTGTAGCATTCACCTTTTTTTGAAGGTCACACTTTTTTAAACACTGAAAAACACCTCAAAAAGGCACAAAAGGAAGATGTTGAATAGATACAGGTTTACAATTTAAAAATCTTCGCAGCAGTCAAACATTTTGAAGATCTTGTTATAACAAACTTTTTCTGAAGTCCTCGAGAGTTTGTTGTGATTAGATTTGCCTTGTACTGTACTGCATACCTTTGATGACATCTCAAGTGAAAAAAAAATTGGCTCTCACATCTATGCTGCACGTTTCTCTCCCTCATTGTTTGTCGTAATTTCTCAGAAATCCGCGAGGAAAACTATTGATGCGATCATCGCGATATACAGCATTACAAGTTTCGAATTGCCGACAGCAGAGTTCAACCGTCAGGGAGAAATCACGAGAAAAAAAAAACAGTTTTTACCGCCAGCTGTACATTCGCTCATCCAAGCAGCAGCAAAGCCAACGTCATTCCCCTGCGCCTTGAGCTCAGTCTTTCGAAAAGCAACCATGAAAGTCCGTGTCATTTTTTTCCTTTTGATCACGTCGAATTGTTGCAACAGTGAAACCTGGTTCGAGACTTTCCGAAACGGAGGTGAGTTTATCTACCAACGGAGTGTATACGCAGGTTATATTCGTGTCTGAGACAGAAAGAGACTAACGCAGGTGCATCAGTGGCAAGAAGGCTCTTTTTCCAACACTTCCAAAGACAAATCAATGCCTTGAACGGAGACGAGTTCGTGCCGACGATCATAGGAGGGGAAGCTGTCACTTCCAGGTCTGCCACACCGTACATGGCCAGACTCTCGCTATGTTCTGGGCAGTACTGTTACCACATATGCGGAGCGGCCATCTTGACGAGGAGTCATCTCCTCACAGCAGGACACTGCATGTTTTATCCGCGGACGACGTAAGTCTCGAACAAAATTCGCGCCAAAAATACTTTCGAAATAGCCCTCCTGTAATGCGAGGCATTTTCAATACAGTATTCCCTTCTTTTTTTGTGCCCAAGAAATGTTGTAATGCGAAATTTCCGTAGCATCTTTTGTTATTCGGGTATACACACAATACTGCAGTACTGTACTACACTCACGTGTATACAGTACTCAATTTACCTGAGAAATTTTGTTGGGAGTGCAATTTACCAGGAACTCTCACAGAAATTATTTATTTTTAAGGAAACTCTTGAAGTCAAACTTCAAGGGACCAGCAAACAAATTTGAGAGTGATTTTGAGTTGGTGAAACAAGAATTTTTGTTTGGGTGAAAGAAAAATGTACCATAAATTGTAATTGTTGATATTCTGGGTCTAAAATTGCTTCATAAATGAGTTGACACAATTCTGAATGTGGAGACAAGGGTTCACTTGCCCAAATAGTCTCACTTAATTTCAAAATGCCTCAAGTTACAATTTTCCTTTTCTCTTTCCTGTGTCAATAAAATGATAGCCAAAAGGCCTCCAGAAAATTTGAGTTAAAGTATACAGGTTTGAAGGGTAAACCTTTTGAGGCAGGACGGTTTTTTACTACATTATTTCTAAGGAAATTCATGCAGGGGCTTGAATAAAATTTGACATGGGAAGGTATTTGACTGAGGAAGGTTTTTGTTATTGAGGTTCAACTTGTGTTATTATTGTACTCAACTACTCAAGGTTACCTATACGATAGCAAGTTTAAATTTGAATTTTCCAGGAACTATTACAGCAGGACAAAATTTATTTTCAAGACCCATCCGTCACTTCAGCTACTCTGCATACAAATAACGCCAAATATCCCGCAAAAATACAATATCAAAACATTAACGTTATTCCGCGTGTGGCAGGACCATGTTGCCGAGTGTATCAGCAACAGTCGGGGACCTCAACTTGAACGTTTTGGAGGAATCGGAGGTGCAAGTCCCGGTGACTTATACACCTCATCCGAAATACGACAACAACAAATTCTACTTGTAAGTCGAATGACCAATCGATTCAATTACTGTTGGATACTCGGCGCGCAGCCCTAGTTTTCTGGTTCAAGTTATGATATAGGATTGGCCGCGCTCAAGGGCTCCTTGATCTTCGGGAATGGTATTCTTCCCATTCATCTTCCAGTACCTGAAGTAGATGTCACTGGAGATCTCGCTTTGATCCCTGGCTGGGGAAGGTACTACGGTACACCAGGTGATTAACACAGGGTACTTACTATACAAGATAAATAAATGGGTTTATTCCTGCATTGCGTAACTAATATTTTCCAGGACGTGTTTTGCTATGCGAAGCATGATTCACCTGAAGAATACATTGTGAATATGTTAATTTGTTCCCGTGATTTTCGATTCAATGGTTTAAAAAGTTAAATTCTTTGAAATTGAAGGTAAATAATAAAAGGAGCATTGGCGCTTCTAAAATCATACTTAACCCATTATTTTCGTAAAAGTCAGGTAATTTTCATTGTTTCTTCTTTCTTCTTCATAAAAACCCATCGTTGGGCTGCTTCTATCTGAATACAGTAAACTTTATGTCACCATACCCAAACCATTTGCCATTACACAGCAAAGCTCTTCAAGTTTAACTTCAAGCTGGATAGAGCAAAACAATTGAGTTAGGTGTGGTTCAAGTTAGGAAAACATGCATTTTTGTTTGAAGGAAATAATGGAGATTTGCACAACATTATACTGTGATTAATGGTGTCATGGACCTTAAATTGCTTCATAAATGATTTGACAAAATGCTGAACTTGGAGGCAAGGGTTCATTTTCCCAAGTATAGTCTCACTTCCTTTCAAAATTCATCAATTATACTACGCATCAACATTTTTATTGATTTTCTCTTCACTGTTTAAAAAAAATGATAGCCATAAGAGCCATCCAGAAAATTTTAGTTATGCTGGAGGTTCAAGGGGAAAAGTTTTTGAGTTAGAAAGCTCCTTATTGCATTATTTATAAGGGGATACAGACATAGAACTTGAAGAAAATTTGACATAGGCAAGCATTATTTGACTTTGCGGGGAGGGGGGTTGATTTATTGAGGACTATGAGGTTCAACTGCATATTTGTTTCATAAGTTAACTGAGATATTTAAAATTTTAAAAATACTCAGGAACACATAAATGGCAAAAGATTATTTTTGGCGCAGAAGAAGCCTGAAATTGTAAATCGAAGTGTTCCGCGCGTAACAACAAATAATTCGTAATTTCTGGTATTCTCATTATGCGACATATATTTTATATGGATAGGTTTCATTTTTGGGCCCAAGAAATTTTGGAATGCGAAAATTTTGTGCTGCGGTTCTTACGTTATACAGGGAATCACTGCACTTGCATATAAATAACTACTGAGACAGGAAGTTGAGAGCTCAATTTGCCAAGCAGGAAGCCATGCAGTGAGCAAGAAGTTGTCCATTTATGTAATAAAAAAATGCATCCAAAACTGCTCTGATTTTGATCCAAAACTGCTCTGATTTTGATCCAAAACTGCTCTGATTTTGATCCAAAACTGCTCTGATTGATCCAAAACTACTCCAGTCTAAAATTATCTGCATATATGTCCAAGTTGAACAAAAAAAGTTGGACAACTTTGGAGTAGTTTAGGATCAAAATCGGACTACTTTTTGTGACTAATTGGGGCAAAATTTATTTTTATCTTAATCTCCTAACTGACATTCATTATTCAAGTCCAATACATTGTCCTATGTACACGATATGGTACACCTTAAAAGATTACAGCACATCACATCAACCCATTCCCTATTAATCTTACATCTGAACCAGGATTGAACCCTGAACCACCTGCACAGGATTTTTGCACTCACACAAACAGCTTAAGACACAAGCATGTCTGTGCCTATCCACACAGGTTGGTAAGTCATCACTACACCAGCCCAATCTCTTTTGGATGTGTGCAGACTACAAAGTGGGTGCCATACATTCAAATGCAGTCCACACACATCCAAGAATCAGAATTTCTTGATTATGCAAAAATTGTGTACTGCCATTCTTGCGCAGACTGTCACTATATACAGTCTGCACACATCCATACAGAAAATAAAGAAATCTTCTGTATGTGTATTTGGACTGTGCTCCAAAAATCCAGCTATTTATTGGATTTGTGTGGACTGCTGATGTCTGCATGCATCCAATGGATAGATGATCCAGCTGCTTGGACTAATGCAGACAAGTTTAGACTTCTTTAGAACAAATTTTTTGATCTTTGGATGAAATTTGGACCAATTTTGGCTACCTTGATGAATTTGGAGGGAAAATGGACATCTTTGTATTCATTGGAAATTCTCACACAGAAATATATCTTTTTAAGGCACATCCGTCACTTCAGCGACTCTGCAATTCGTGGAGCTCAAATTGCTGTCTCTGGATGCCTGCAGAGAAACTTACGGAACAGCGGTTCATCAAGATCACTTGTGTTTCGGAGGAGAGAATTCCGATGGAGGGATCTGTAGCGTAAGTATGACGTCTTCTGCATGGGGCTATTCGTCACCGAATTTCACTCGTCACACGTACCATGTTACAGGGAGACAGCGGGGGACCAGTGGTGGTTTTCGACGGCGATGGCACAGCAAAAGTCGTCGCTGTCAACTCTTTCATCAGGAGGACAGCCACTGATGACTGCCCGACGTCCAACCCGGGAGTGGGTACCAAGATCGCCAGTCACCTAGCCTGGATTAAGCCTATTTTAGAGTAAGTTCCCGCCACTACAAAATTGAACAATAAGTATAAAATTAATCGACCCGACACCCGAAGCAGCAGTGAATAAATAAACAGTACTAAGAAATCGCAGTTCAAGCAATTTTAATTCACTCAACAATTCCACAGAAATGACAGGTTTCATATCAGGACTTCAATCGATATTCAACGCATATTCCAGAATTTGAACAAATGGAAAATTTTCCGCAAAAAAAAAAAACATTATACACACGTGAACACGCAATGAATGTATTTCTTCAAAGAAATTATACATGCTTTTGTACGTTTGAGTAAAAGGAGGTGAACAGAAAATGAATTCTTTGAGCCGCCGAATTGGACAACCATAATCGCCGCAATTATCTTTCATTTAACGTGGATCATACACCAATCACAATTAAATTCATTCAGATTGAGAGGGGGATTACTCCGTGGACAAAGCTAGCAGTACAGTATAAGGTAAGCTTATAAAGTTTACGTCAAGGGTCCTTTTATCGATAAGTAATATTTTCAGCTCAATCAAAGGTTGATTGAGTTCACAGCAGACATAAAAACGTCACCGACTGACTAATGTTGCGTTGAAATCCTTTAGGTTATCGGCAGGTGAAACCCCATTGAACGTCATCAGTCAGGCATCCACCAGCCAGGAGCCCACAACCGTTCAGGGAAACAAGCTGAGTTTCTTTCAGGAGTTTTTCGTTGAGGCCAGGATGCTTTTGTTTCCGAGTTATTATGGTTTCCGAAGTGTGTGAAGACTAGGTTTGAGATCAGATGAAGCGTTTCCTTCAAGTCGGATTTTTTCTCAAATATTTATGTACAGTGGGGCCCCGAGATGCGGACGTAATTAGTGCTTGGATCTTCTCCCAATGTTGGAGTGACCGCATGCCGGATCACATTTTCCCATATAGATTTCAATGGGAACTTATTCAATTGGTTCTTTGGTTTATCAAAAATTAGAAATAAGTCCTCCAAAAAATTGTGCATGACATTTACTCTCAATTTCAAGATATAGAAAATAACTGCGCAGAAGAAAACACCGTAAAATCTGATCTTATGGCATCAAAAGGTGCACAAGAAGCAAACAAGAACAAATCTTGCTATCCCGAGCACAGATGACGGAAAAATAATCCAAAAAAGGAGCACAAAATCAGCTTGTTTTGATTGTGGCTTTGAAGAAATTTATAATACATTTATTTTTAATTTCTGTGATTGTAAGGCAGCTCTATTTGTCCAAGAGATATCCAAATCTTGTAAAAAATAAATTTTCCCTTTTCCAGAAATTTTAGAAAAGTGTCCATATCTCTAGACACTGTCTAGATTTTCGGGCAGATTTTTTGCGTTTTAATTGTGCTTGAGTCGAATTGTCCGCACGTCGGGGTCCCACTTATAAGAAACAAAGCGCGGTTTTGCAGTAAGAACCCAAGACAAACAAGAGACAATTTAGAAACAATAAAGGGATTCTGCCGGGCGTCCGATACTAAGACACGAAACAGGCCGAACACACACAAACGCATCCAGTTCCCACAAATTTCCCCACAGCCATCATGCAGGACTTCAAGGGAACTTCAGAAATCATCGCTCACATAAACGAGGTATTGACTATACCTGTATTCACTTTCGAATCCTTATAGGTCAACACATGAAGCCCCAAGTACCACCCCAAGCGTCACAAATCCGCCAGTTTACCCACTGGGTACCCCGAATTGCGTCATCAATGAGCCACTGTACCCAGCACAGAACACACCGAATGGCGTCATCAATCAGTCATCTATCCAGGAAGAAAACTTTGACCCGGGAAATGCCGAACAAGTGACCCACGACGTTCCGGATGCCTCGACAGGGAAACTGAGCTTCTTGGCGGACTTTTTCTTGGAAGCCAGAATGCTCTTATTCCCACGTTACTACGGTTTCAGGAGTGTATAAAAAACTAGGTTTGAGATCAGATAAAATGATTCGTCATTCACTTGGACACTTTAACTCTTAAAAACAAAGCGTCGTCGCGCAGGTAGAACCTAGACGGATGCAAAAGCACTGTATGCGGAACAAACATCGGAAACCCGAAACCTAGCGCATCCGGGCTGGAAACTGACGAGGGTCGCTTAAAATTATCCCAAGACGGGTCCGGTGCGAAGCTTTCCACCACATTCACGGCTCTCGACGGGTCCGGGTTCTGGTCGTACAGCGTAAACGACACCGTGTGCGGGAATGGCCACGTCAACAATGCGTCGAATTCTCCGGGCACGAGTTTTACGTACACTGACACGTGGCTGCCATCACCCAGCCCGTTCCCGTTCAGGAACACTGATGCCTGCAAATTCATATGAACATAAATAATTAGCCCTTCGTAGGAATATATCACCATTCACTACACAGTATGATGTAGCCAGACTTTAACACTTTACCTGGAGTTTGTACCCGTACTCGGAAGTGTAAAATGGCGCGCTTGTGAGCTCAACGGCTTCGGAGGCTCGCGATGTCCTCAACTGTGATCCGACATCTTTCACTTTCCACATCAGGGTGCCTAAATAAAAATGCATACCACATTAGGAAACTGAGTTCCTGTTCAACAGTAATGTACAGTACTACGAAAGCTCTGAAACGATACTTGAACAATGAACACGTACAGAGAATCAAACAACGAAATTTAACCCGAAAATTCGGAGCTGCTTTCTCTTTCGCGCAAACCCCGTTCGAACTCTCGTGATGAAATTCTCGTTCGACAAACGCAATGCTTTCCAAAATATTACACAGGTGTCGCTTTTATGTCGAGCCTCACAGTAATCGTGAAGAGCGCGATCACCGAAGGTTATCAGTAAAATAAGGATTAAATCCTGGAACTTCGAGAAATGAAAAATATATGTAGTATGGGCAGCACATCGTACAAGAAAAAAATTGCTAGTTTTAACAAACAAGATTGCACGCGAGTTTTCAAAAGAAAAGAGATTGAAAAAAAGCATCGCACACACAAGAGCGGGCGTTTCGCGAAGTGATAAAACCTTCAACTTCCTTCAGTAAACCTGCCTTATCACGAGTCCTTCAGTAAACAACAGATAACTCCTTTTTTCCGACTTGAACTTCCTGCGAAATAGAACTCACCAGATTTATTGGTGGACAAGTGCTGCAGAGCAGCTCTCAAGTTCTCAATTTCATCCTGCTGGGAAACTACGAGCGCACATAGTCCAGCCAAGTGTTCGGAAGTTTTTGCCTTCATATGTTCGTCGACATCCGTTCTTTCTCCCTGTTGTAAAATGAGAAAAAAACAAAAAAAAATGACCACAAGTACCGCACATACATGCATTGAAAGTGAAAAAAATTTAAAAAGGGAATAATTGTCGGGAGGAAAATTGCACAGCGCAATTGGAACTCATCGAATAGAAATGCTTTTCCTCGAGTACTCTGCAAACCTTTTTGCTAGAAATCTATGCCAAACATTCAGGTGCGATGTCTTACTCGGGTGCAAATTTTTCCATAAATTTTCGTGCGCGTAATACTAAAATCATACGATCAATTTTCAAAAATATAAACGTTTCAAAGCTCATAAATTAATTTAATTGCTCTCGAGTGGGCTTTACTTCACACTAAACACTTGCATTTAATCAAACATTCAAATTTCTTCATACAGTACTGTACTTGAAATTTTAATATTGAACGTATTAATCGCCATAAACTCGGATGCGCGTACAGCAGCGATACATTTCTACCCAAATTTTCCGCAAAATGAGTAAATTTAGCGCAGGCACTCAAGATCTAGTAAAAAATCATGAGAATAACAGCAGTGAAAAGTGTAAGAGCTGGGGTTTCATTTCGGCAGATACGCAAGAATGAAATTATTCGCAAAATTCAAAAATGACCAGATTATGCCTCACCTTGAAAGCGCATCCAATATTCCGGAAAGGACACAAGCTCTGGGGCTTCTGATTCGTCAGAACTTTGGCCACAGTTGTCAGGGGTTTCTTGCAAACATTAGGTTCATTCTGTAAAAACAATGAAGCCATGAATGCATTGGATAGTGTCGCATTAGTACATACATCTACGCTACGGTACTTCGAAGAATTCTTCAGAGCGACATCTACTAGCCAACGAAAAATCAAAAGCATTTATTGGCAGTTGTCAGAAGATGAAACCATGGGGGACTTCCACCAGAAAAAAAAATGTATCGTCAACTTTGAATGCCGTTCATGAATACTTTATCTGAATGCCTGATGAACTACAGGTGAACTACTCTCTGCCATGAAATTAAAGGGACTAGAGAATACATTTTTGCAGAGAACCAGTGTAACATGGGGAGAGATCCCCGTGGGTTCAAGAAAAATTCGTTATACAGAGAAAATCATTGTAGACAAGATTTTTTAGAGAGAGTTCACATGTATAATATGTCTCACTAATGCTTCTACTGTATGTAAAAAAAATAGCGCAGTAATTCCAGACACTTACGACAAGCGAGCAGTTTGTACAAGCAGATTTTTTGGCACAACTGGACACCTTGTGGGTATTCATCATTGCTCTGGGGATCTTCTCTCCGCACCCCGAGTCGCACAAAATCATTTCCAGGCCACAACCCCCATGCATCAAGTGATTCTGAGGGAAAAAAGATGACACTCTTTTCACTGTCAAACAATAAGCACCGAAACTCCCGGGGTCAACAAACTGAGGTTCAAGGAACTTGCCCTGAAATCAGCTGAAGTTCCCTGACAAAAAAAAAATCAACTGCTGATGAGCTGAACTAATTAAGTCTTGCGGTTAAAATTTCCCAGCATTCTTTTCCGAAAACGTGGGACCATCAGCGCTTGGCATCTAACCTTAATCATTAGACACCATCAGGGAGGATACAAACCTTTAGAGCCCTGTGGGTGTGAAAGGCCAACCGGCACTTCTTGCAGTGCAGGGCAGGAGGCAGTGGAGGCGCGTCACCAGAACTAGATGTCGCTGTGGAGCTGGATGTTGCCAGCAGGTTGTCTTCCGAGCCGGACCCCAGGTATGTGTGCAGGTTGGCAAACATTGACTGTCGGTGTCTGTTCCTGCAGGTAGTCTGTATGTGCTCTTGGAGCAAAGAGCGGGCGATGCGAGCACCGCAGCGAAGTCGACACGGCACCGCGTCGTATTTACACATGTTCAGGTGTGCCTGTGGAAAAAAAAAGAAATAGACATAGAGAATACTTCAAATTCCTATTCCGTCCAGGATTTTTGTCGGTCAACTTTCATGGGACTTTCGGCCAGGTTGGGAACTATGAAGTGAGGGGTGTCTCGTCAGTCTCGAATCCCGATTAAACGTGAGCATTCGGGAACTGCTCAATTCAGAATATTACAAAACGATCTTGAATATTGTAAACAACAATGTCTAAATCTCCGGATACAGGTTTCAATAATTACTTTAAAAACAAGAGAGAGGCACGTATTCTCGGGTGAATCCAAAAAATTTAAATCTTAAATATTGAACATAATGAAATTCATTCCCTTCCTTTGGAAAAGTACGACCTGAGAAAAGGTTTGCAACAAGCTCACTTAATCAAGGGATTGGTTTCCGAACGCAAAGCAAGATTTGTTTTCGGATCCCCCAACAGATTCAAATATCATTCAGAAAGTTCTGTATCTTGCTGCAGCTTCTCGATAATGGGAAGTTTCCTAATTTCATTTTTCCACGTGCTTTTCCTTCGGGTGTACAATATGATGAATGAATAAGGTCTACTATTGTATTCTATCAGTTCACCTAGTGAACTAAGGTACCCTTAGAAGGTTTCATACCAGTATCCATCTCTGAACAACAATAAAAATGTGTAGGATTTAGCCGCACAAATCATACATCTCATCAAATTCTCCAGTTCTATGGTGCCTATTTTCAGAACATTTATAACATCAATATTTAATCATCCAGTGCTCGTCTGTGTGAGCAGCTTTGCAGATGCTTCTTCAACTGTCAAAGAGCTTTCTCATGCATTTTTCAACAAACCACCACTACAGATATTGCAATCTAACTTAACTGATATTGGCAAAACAAACCTAGCCTAACATCTAAAACCAATCTAAAATGAGTTTTGGCCATTAAAAAAGAAATACCTTTTCATACAAAAGAAAGCTCTCAATGAAGTTTCTAAGACCTGCCTTTACATCCCGAACCTCTCCAACTGATGCAATTCAGAAGTTAAGTTGTTCTTTTTGATGTACGTCCTAATAGTGTAACAATTCTGAACACCTGAACATGTGTAAATACGTCTATAATCTTGATATCATCCCATCTCTGCCTCTAATATCCTCCAGGAGTGACTACAAAGCCATAGTGCTGGTCTGCACTAGGTGCTCAGTGGTAGATAACCTTTGCCATAAGTCTTATTGAACACGAAGCAAACGAATCTCTATTTTCTCATGTGGGTTGACAGGATCCCAAGAGGACCCTACAACAGAGTTCATCAGAAAAAAAGCCCCGTTGCATGGAAAAAGCAACAACGTACCTTGAGTTTGCACAAGTTGTCAGCCCAGGAGCAGCCAGCAGACTTATGTATACAGCAGACCACCGGCTTAAGCAGGTCCACGTCAACGTCAGCATCCACCGCAGCGGTGACATCTCCGAAAGAACTCGACACCGACCGGACTTCCCTCCTCCGCATATGGTTCCTCGTTCTTCTTCTCATGGGTGGCAGCGGCGGCGGCGGCTCGTCGCTCACCGGCACTTCCTCATAGTCATGCTCCTCGATCGCGTCCGACGGGCTCGAGTACCCCATCTCCCTGCGGAAAATAAACAAAAACGGCTCAACTTCCGGCGAAGGGCTAATTGGGAAACAGGGAAGGAATTTTAACGAACGAACGTGCCCGCCCGTGCGGTGCGGTGTGGTGTGTGCGCGCGCGCGCGAAACCCGAGACGGAGGAGGGGAGTTCAGTAGAGGGGAGCGAGGAACATCTGCTGCTGCTGCCTCCCGGCGGCAGATGATGTTCGCATCTGTGCCAGACGCTCCAGGTGCAGCCGGTTCCCTTTTTTCCTCTCGCTTCTTTTCTCTTTCCCACTTATTTCGCAGGAGCAGACAGGCAGCTGGACCGCTGCGCGCAGCGTTACCACATTATCCCGGGGGTGGGCGGGTTAAGTCCCCCCTTCTCTACGCGCGCGCGCATCTGCCGCACTTCGACTCCCGTGGCAACGCTGTGTCACATGAAACACCCTCTGGTCCCGCTCTCTCTGTCGATTGTTGCCAACTTTCACTCCAAAGCACCCCCTCCCGCAGAGAATCAACCCGATCGGCCCCAACGCCGGACAGTTGGTAACTGTACGCAAAATAAACTCGAGGACAAAGGACATGTGTTTGGCGGGGAAATATCCTGTCACCAACAAGGGCTTTTCGGGCGGTGGGGGAGGCGAAAAATAGGACTATTCAGAGTAGCATTTGCAAGATGTGCTCCCGGCCATAGAATCTCTTCACACCTGATTTTTCCGGGTGTTTTTTTTTTTCTGTTGTTGTCGGACATCATGACGGTTCTTTAGAAAGCGGGACACGTAGAGCCAGCGGGAAAAATATGGAAATAATCGCAATGCTATATTCCGAATAGGGGGTGTTTCCTCTGCGTCACTCCCAAAAATACGACAGGATCTTTCATTAATCTTCATTCCGAACGAAATTCATTCAGGGTTATTTTTCAGAATTTTTTTTGTATTTCTCCAAGTAAAATTATTGAGTGAAGTATTATACTGTATATTTATATTCATACGCAGTCGGGCCAATCTTTTTTAAACACGGCATTTTCTTAGATTAATGCCCATGACGGACCAATATAAAATTTAAATTAGCGATGATTTTTTGAGTTTTCAATTATCTCCAATACTGTATCAAGGCTTGGTCGCTGAATTTCGAGAAATGCGGAAGACTGAAATACGTGCGGAACTGATACTGTTGTAACATCTTCCAAATTCTCAAATACGAAATGCTTAAAAGTTGAACCAAATTTCATTATACAGTACTGTACTTATGTTTTCAGAATTTTCATGCATTTTAACTCACTCATGTGGAATTAGTAGTTCATGCGCACTCACGAAATGAATTAAAATTTTCATCCAGAATTCCCAAGATTTGGAATATAAAATACAATACAGCACAGTATTTTTAATTTAATTTTCCTTGATTAAATCTCATCATTATACCGGACGCGTTTTAAAATTCAGGCAAAAGTAATCAAAAATTTTTGCCGAGATTTGTAATAATGTACACAGCAAAATATGTTTAATTAAATTTTTTCCTGAATAAATCGAATTTATCAAGATCCAGGACGCACATCAAGATTTAGAAAGTTTACTCAAAAGCTGTCCTCAAGATTTGGAATTTTCAATACTGTATTTTAAATATTATTCTCTCGAATAAATCTTATTCATTATGATACAGGACGCGTGTTCCGATTCGGACAAGATACTCANGGTCGCTGAATTTCGAGAAATGCGGAAGACTGAAATACGTGCGGAACTGATACTGTTGTAACATCTTCCAAATTCTCAAATACGAAATGCTTAAAAGTTGAACCAAATTTCATTATACAGTACTGTACTTATGTTTTCAGAATTTTCATGCATTTTAACTCACTCATGTGGAATTAGTAGTTCATGCGCACTCACGAAATGAATTAAAATTTTCATCCAGAATTCCCAAGATTTGGAATATAAAATACAATACAGCACAGTATTTTTAATTTAATTTTCCTTGATTAAATCTCATCATTATACCGGACGCGTTTTAAAATTCAGGCAAAAGTAATCAAAAATTGTTGCCGAGATTTGTAATAATGTACACAGCAAAATATGTTTAATTAAATTTTTTCCTGAATAAATCGAATTTATCAAGATCCAGGACGCACATCAAGATTTAGAAAGTTTACTCAAAAGCTGTCCTCAAGATTTGGAATTTTCAATACTGTATTTTAAATATTATTCTCTCGAATAAATCTTATTCATTATGATACAGGACGCGTGTTCCGATTCGGACAAGATACTCAGAAATCGTCCTGAATTTTTGGAATATATTGTACGATAATTTGAATATAATTTCTTTTAGAATGAATCTAATTTATTATGATAGAGGATGCGTAATAAGTTTTAGAAAAAATACTGATAAGTTGCTCTGAAGATTCGAAATGTACGGCACAATATTTTGAATATCCCTTTTTTCTTGAATAAATCTAATTTATTACGGTACAGGACGCGTATTACGTTTTACACGACGTATTAAAAAGTTTCCATCAAGATTCGGAATTTAATGTAAAATAATGTTGTATATCATTTTTTCTTGAATAAATTCAATTTCTTATGATACAGGACGCGTATTACGATTCAGAAAAGGTACTAAACACTTGTTGAACAACACATTTCTTGGAAAAGGCCCGACTTTCTCGGAAGAACTTCACGCGTCCGTTCTTCACGGCTTCAGCGTCAGAAGATGGCTTGGCAACGGAAAAATAATGATTCACGAATGGCGGCATCATCAGACCATGATGACTCCGAGGGTTGACAGTAGCGTTCTCTAGGCTTTTACGGTGTATCAATACTACTTTTCCCCAGAGCTGAGCGCCTTGGTCCTAATCTGCTCGATGCCAATCAAGTCTAGTCAACTCTTGCGACGACGATAGCTTCGCCGTGGAATGGTCGCAACGGAGTCAATTAGGGTAGGTTAGATATAATTGGATCAGGTTATTTCTGTCATGTCGCGGTGCTGTGGCTTGATGCATCAGATCCTTCAGGGAAGCGCCACATTACGGCTTCAGCTCGCAAACAATGCTAATGTTGAGGCTGACGATTTTTTTTTCTTCAACTTCTTCGAGGCCGAGTAACAATAGACTATACAGTACAGTAATATGCAAAATTCCCTTGCCTCATGTGCCGTTATGTGAATGTCACATGCAGTATTGGTTCGCCTCGAAGAAAATACCGTATGAACTCGGTTACTGTACCACGCGTCCTCGAGGAATAGACACGCACCCTAATTTGCTCACCCTAAAATGTTGATGAAATCTCATCCCCGAGTATAAGACCATTTTTAGCAACTGAAAACTAAAATATTTTAAAAATAAGAAAACCCAGAATTCAAATTTGAACATCAATTTGACCTGAATTCCATGAATTTTCAATTGTTTTGATTTTAAGAATTTCCTGCCAAAAATGTCCCATTGAAGTGTGACACTCACCTAAACGTCTAATATAATTTTTGAAAATTGTATCCCTGCTTACGAAGCGCACCCCGTTTTCCCCTCAATTTTGATTTCTAAAACAGGTGTCTGTAGTATTTAGTACTGTACTATAGTAATACGGTAGAATAGTTGTCAATTTCTACGAACCGGGTTCTGGCACTCTCTTTATCAACGCTGGTGCACTATTTGATGCTCAAGAGAGATGTTGCTTAAGGAAATGTCCCTTAATAAGTCCAAGAGCGCCTCAACGTGTAAGAAGCAAGCCGAAAACTAAGCGAAACTTACTTGCAAAACCGGATTAATTTCCGCATGCGAAGAAATACTGTACATCGGTCTTCGGAACTATTTTGTTTTCTGGCTTTGACAACTTTTTCCTTTTCTCAGTTGACAGGTTTTTTACAACAACAAAATCAACATGATACCAAATATGTTGTCCCTCTTCGAGATAAATGCAAAGACAAGAGAGCGCCCTATCTTGTTTGTTCCTTGTGACAGAACACGATTATTAAAGAATTACGCAGGACATTGAATTGACAATTAATGAGACACATCCGAGAAACAGCCGAAAATTGCTCAACTTACTCGCTCATATTTCATTCCCGTTGTTTTACCATCCTGAAGAAGTACGGTACAGTACTGTGTATGTTTTTGCGTGAGGAAGTAAGCCAGGAAGGTATGGTAACTCTCTCGAAAAAAGCAGAGAAACAAAATTCTCTAGCATCGATTCAATTCTTTGTCATAATGGCGTGACTCCGTCGAGTTGGCTCATCAATTTGTTTTTCTTATTCGAGGAAAGTGTCGAAGAGGCTTGGTTTTCTAAATCAGTTTCGTAGCACGCATTTAACTTCAAAAGGGCAGCCTATATTTTTCAAACAGAAGTGTAATCATATCATCATCTCAACCTGAAATGACCCAAACGCTCTCATGACGAAACAGTACTAAGAATTCAACAGAAGTTCCTTGGAGAATTATTTTCTCAAAACACGCAACGAAAAGCTCTCTACTCGACTTGAGTACTGGTGCTGAGCAGTTCGTCAGACCTGAAAGGATTTGAAATTGACTGAGCTGCAACGGGACTCCTGGCCAAAATTTGACATGGTCTGGGAACTCAGGACCATTTCAAAAATGTACAATTTGAGCCACTAAGCATGAGTAAGGAAATAAAGTATTCCGAAAGCTGATGCACAAAAAAGTAAATTCAGAAGTAGAATCGATTCGTGCTGGAAATCATTTGAACATTTTGACGTCAGCATATACGCGTCAAGTTAAAAGAAGAAAAAAAACGAACATCTCGAAACGTGATCCTCGTGTAACTTGGGGAAACCACAGAACTAAATTAGTCAAGAAATGTCCTGGACAAGAAAATCATCAACTGATAACAAAGTTTCAAATTAAGTATCAGGAAAGAAATTCCTGCTCGTCTTCGCGTCTTAAATCGAAAACAGAAAAATATTACAATGAATATACATCGGAACGATTCATACTCTGCTTTCTAGTTGAAAAAAAAAAAATCTTTGTGAATATGTGCTTTCAAGATTTTGAGCATTGGCGTTTTCTGAGAGGCAAATAAAGATCAATAATTCCAACAGATACAGTCTTCCTGGCAGGAAAACTCTACCTAAATTTACATGCTGTCGAGTTGGATGCGACTCTCGACGAAATTATTACCCTTCGAATCTGCCAAGTGCATGAATGATTAGATACCAAAAATGTTGGTCAATTTCGGAGGCAGATTTAATGTGGGAGAGACGGGGTGAGCGAAATGGAATACTGTACTGTACTGCACTTCTAATTCAAAGTGGAAATTCCCGTGCATATCATGGGATCCTCGTGAGGAAAATAACAGCTCAGAGCGTTTCCGGAGACCCAAACCCTGAACTCAGACTGCCGCTTCCGCTTCCCACAGAAATCGCGAAAAAAACCCCATTATACCAGTTATAACCCGGAAT